GTCGATAACTAGGACAAAATCCAAGGCAACAACATGCAAACTCCACATTGTCAGGTAGCCAAGACCAGAACTTTGCAGCAGCAGGCAGGCGGGCAAACCAATGAGTCAACATGCAAACCATAATCCTGAAATATGATCAAGCTACTTTAAATTAAATCAATACATTCCTCTTGCTTGATTTTGAAAATAAAACATTTCTTTTTCAATTCACAAGTTTTAACTTGTTTTCTAAATTTCTATTTGAATGTCTTTGTTGCATCTAAATGAAATGCTGTTACCTTCTAGAATAGTCACAGAAAATATATTCCACAATCTGAAAATAATACATGTGTGTAAACAAGTAAAATTGGATTCCTTAAAATATCAAGCATTTTGCACGAAAACATGAATTGTTAAGTCTCAGACACAGAGCTAATGAGTTATGTACTCAGTATGTACAGTACAAACCAGGAGGAAGCAACTGAGTATAGACTCAATCACAGGAAACAGCATTGATTATTTATGTGTTGTAATCAATGCATGTCACAACTGTGTCTCTTATTCCCTTCAGCAATTGCCAAGATACACAATTTGCAGCCACCTTGGACAGCAGAATAGTTACAATATGCACCATATATACAGTATTTTATATTTGTACCTTTGTGTTTCCACTCAATGAGATCATTTTTAACAAATTGCTGTGTTTAACCTTTCTAGTTCTTTGTCATTGCCTTGGGAATGTAATCAAACAGATGAATTGTGTTAAACATCTTCAGACAAGTCCACAGATCATAAAAACCTGAAGATATTATTTTATGTTTTTTTTTTTCTCTCTAGATGCTACATTAATCTATGAGTTATACATGATATACAATAGTCCTTTACAGGGGTTTTTACAACTTCCAGTTAAATGTAATTAGCACTAACACTAAATTATAAGGAAAGCAGTACTAGCCAATATGGCAAACTGACTATACCCATGCAGTGGGTACTCGTTGATATTCCCAATAGCTTAAAATAGTTTGGAACTACTGTACATCTTAGGTTTATGGAATAAGTTTGTGTTATTTTAAGTGTTTTTAATTGTAAAAAAATATTTAGTAAGATATACAATAATACATCTGTGACAAAAAGCCTTCAGATAGGAAATGAAATTCAAACTGGAATGAATTTAAATTAATGTATAAAGTTATTCTTTTTTTATTATGCACATAAAAACTAAATTATTTGATATGACTGCTGACAGGCATTTCAACCTCTTTTTAACAGAATTCAAAAGGCCTATCAGAGGAAAATAGCTGGAAATTTCTAAATAAGACTCCATCACGAACCAGGTTCAGGTTGACAGAGCTGTGGTAGCACCATTCTTATCTGTAAAAACCTGAAAGCAATAAGAAATGCTTTCTTAATACATGGTTAATTCAATAATTTTAGACAGTATTTAGACATTATTTTGTATCTATAGGTAGCAGGACAGTTTGTAAACATACAAGGATAACTAAAATGGATGTCTTAAACAGTATCTTCAAAATTCAAACCCTTTAACCTCTTTGCCATAAAAATAGCAAACAGTGATTTGTGAGTATGGTCTTTACACTTGTTAAACATTCCACACATTTACATAACCTCCAATTACTGTATGTCTTCTTCAGTGGAAGAGTTTGTCCCAGAACTGAACTGGCCAGAAAGGGCAGGATGTGCCACTGTTTCACCGCTTGAGCAGTGCATTTGGTTTTGGTTAAATCTTCCACATAATTTATTCCAGGGCAGTGATTTATCCATAGGAAAAGAGGCTGTAATGTGAACTAAAATTGGCTTTGGATGGAGTGTAACTCCACTGGAAAAATTATTTATCTGTTTTTTATAGGAAGCATTGCATGCACAGATAAACAAGAGCCAAGCCACTGTTTTTTATAATGTGCTGTTGTGCCACCAAGCAACAGAACACAAATGTGAAAGGAGTTGCACCATGCTTCTTAACAAGTGGAGCCCTAACTGCATTAGGCATTAAGGAATTCTGTAATGCACATCTTCCGCCTTGAGTGTTAGCCAAAACCACAATATGAGTGTGGCTGCCAATAGTATGAATTCCAGTTTTAATGAATAGGAATGCTTATATCCTCTGAATCCAACTAACTGTAATAAGATCCTTACTCTCACAGTGCCAGAGCTGTCACTGATTGCGTGTAACGAGTGTTTTTGGGATGAAAAGGCTTGGCTTTTTGTGTTTCGGTCCAAAGAGCCTTGTGTGATTGTCAGTGAGTGTATTTTTATACACTGAATGTAAGACGAAAAGCATGCCATAAAATATAATGTGGTTTTGTAGAGCGCATATTTATCTTAGGTTTAGTTCAGTGACGGCTTCATAAATTGTGATCCGAGTGATGTGTTGTACATTAAATTATACATATCGATCACTCACATTTTTTTTTCTGCAGATTAGGTCAACAAATTTGCATCAACAAGGACACCATCTCCCCCCTAACTCCCAGTTTTGCTTATTTTCCTAAACCATCCCGAAATACATTTCTTTTCTGTTACTTAAAAAGTATTTAGCAATTAAAATGTAAGGTTTCCTTATGGGAAAATACATGTCATGTTATCTTAATTAATTAAAGATTCTAAGGTTTTGAAAATGTGGATGGAATAATAATGTGAACTTTTCCTATATACTGCCAGAAGAGCAGAAGTTGGTCGTACATTATACGAAATACTTAGACTGCCACATCACCAAAACTGTACCTTATGGTAAAGTGAGAAGAGGTGATGTCTGTTAAATATATTTTCCAACAACATCCTAATTTTAGAAACATTATATCACCAAGTGAAATAATCTTTTTGTTCTATATGCTGTCTCCTGTATGAATAAACTGCATCTGAACTGATGTTACAGTTTTAGTAATGACTTAACAAATAAATACAATGTGAAAAACAGTGAAAGAAAATGCTGGGTTGTAACAGAAATGAAATACAGAAAGTAACATCAGCAGTTTCTGTTTCCCTGCAGAAATAAATTTATAATACAGTACATCTTGGCTTGGACCTCAGTTCTTCCTAAATTGACTGTGATTTCCTACATATGATAGACATTCTGGTATTGTTAGTAAACCAGTGATGTCTGCAGACAAAAACATACTAAAGGAGAAGGATGAGCAAATGTAGAAGCAGCAAAGAAAATTTAAAAAATGGCAACATCCAGGACTTGGCAAATATCAGGCAGATGTGTAATGTAGACTGTGTATATTCGTGAATATACTTTGTTTCATTCTTTGTTGTCAGCTCTTAGAATGTTGGAAAAGTCAATACATGGAATTAATTAACAGTAATAAAACACTTTGTGTGGCTAATTAAAAGCACTAAATGCAATAGTTTCAAACTCCTGTTTTCATAAAATATTCCACAATAACATTTCACAAAGTTTGTGAAGGATCATTGCAGTAGAATGACTCCGTGATCCGCTGTTCATAGTACCTCTCCAATGAACTAAAACACAGACGTACTCTAGTCAACTTTGTAGTAGCTGTATAGGGAACTGATGTTTTTAAGAAACCTCCATTCACATTCCAGTAACTGAACAGTTCTACAAATTGATAATATTGATCCAACTGTGCCTATGTATCTGGGGTTAAAATATTACTCAGGTTCCATTTTCACAAGCCTGTTTGGGGTTAGCTTCACAGATTAGCAAAAGGTTATTGGTTCCTGCACACAGCATAAATCTGTTTTGTCCAGAGGTATACCCATAAGGTGATGTTAACCCTAGGTTTATCATTAAGTGCGCAATGAAGAAAGTTCCTATATTAGTCTGCATAGAAATTTTAGTAACATAGTATTTTTTAATTAAAAGTTACAAATTAAAAATATGTTTCCACTATAGTTGACTTTTGACCTACAGTATTTTAACTGAAAACTCTCATTCTAACTTGAGAGGGTAACATGTTTATGACAAAACATCTTAACATATGCTTCCATTCTTTACTTGTTAAACGTGAAATGCAGATATACTCAAAGAGACAAGTAATAGTAAGAGAATACAACGTTTCGGCCGTGGAGCCTTCTTCAGGTGTGAGAGAGACAGGGCAGTACGCAAAGGTAAAGTAGCGGGAGAACAAAGGTTGGGAGGGAGGAGGAGTGAGAGGCGGGAGCAGGGGACAGAAAGAGAGGCCAATCAAGAGGTGTGAAGTCAGAATGGGTGCAGAGGTGTGAAATGAAACTTCCAATGGAGAAAATTTAAAAGAACAGTAATCTGTCGTTAAGGGAAGGGAGAATGTGTGATCCTAACTGCAGAATAATTTTAGTTTCGGTGGTCTTTCTGATGTATGAGTTCGGAAAACCGTCTTTGAGAACACAGACGGAGAGATTAGTGTGGTCGTGGCCGTCAGAGGTGAAATGAGAAACAATGAGCCCTGACGTGTTCTCTGAAGCGGTCTCCGAGTCTCCTTCCTGTTTCTCCAATGTAGATGGCTGGGCATTTACTGCAAGAGATACAGTAAATAAGGTTGCTGGAGGTACAAGATGCTGTCTGGGTGACCTGGAATTGTCCTGAGGGGCCTTGAATGAGTGTGGTGGTGGCTGTGTACTTGCAGGTGATACAGCGAGCTCTGTTGCAAGGGAAAGTGCCTGGTGTGGATCACACCTGAAGAAGGCTCCACGGCCGAAACGTTGTGTTCTCTTTCTTCTTTTTTTCAGCATGGAATAAACCTATTACTTGTTCCTTTGCAGCCTACGCATGCTGACGCAGCTACCCACCTGAACTATACTCAAAGAGTATCGTTAAGTTTTTTTTGTAATGTTTCTTAATGAGGTACATAACTTATTTGACCCATAGATAATTTCATGAAAATGTCAACAACGCGTGCTAACGTAAAACAACAGTAAAATATTTTATTTAGAATAGTAAGAATAGAATAACAGGAAGTAAAGCAACCTACAGTAGTTTAATTTAAAAAAAACGTGAAATTATTTAACGTTTAAAATGAAAACAATTCACTGTGGGTTGGAATGGTAAAGAGAAACGCTGCATGTCAGATAAGAAAAATGGAACAATGATGGGCATAGTCCACACAAAGCGCCTTTCACCTAAACCTTGTCTTGCATTAATGAGAAATGGGCATTGGACAGCTAACAAACAGACGCACTTATGTAGCCAGTCCTATAGCGTGTCAGACTAGACAGACATATCCCGCCCTCTCGCTCTGGTCCTCTCACAGCATGAGCGTCTCTCCGCGGCCATGGTAACATCGCTGTAGGCAGACTGGACTGCGGCACGAACAGAAACAGAAGGCTATCGTGATCAGGTAAAATCGATGTACATATTCATATTTGCATATAGAACCCACTAATGAAGCTGTTTAGAGAATTTGCTGTGTCTTAGCACGGAGCTTTCAAAATGCGTAAAACTGTGTTTCAGTTTTGTTGCTAAGCGATCCATCCCTTTCGCCCATCTGTGGCCTAAACGGGGTGTAAACTGGTGAGAAGCATTGTGGGTATTGTTGTCCTTCACTGCTGCTTTAGAATAGATGCAAACGAGACATTGCCGGGGCTGAACTACATATTCCGTCACGCACGACGTCAATGAAATCGTTTGGTATAGGAGTGCTTCATAATTTTCATTTTAAGATTTTACACACTACAAAACAGCATTAATCTCATTAGTGAAATTAAGTTAAAATTATATAAATGCACGTCGTTCCCCTTGAGCGTTTTTCCTCGATTACACTGTGAAACAACGTATGAGATGTGACTACAAAGAAAAGATTAACAAAGATATGTACTGTATATAGAGAATTGTACATCTTTTCTTAATAATATTTTGTTTGCAGTTGTTACTTTTAGGGGCTATTTCTTATTCTTTTATCAATATCCATTGTTTTTATTTTTATTAATAAATACGGCTTTGTATTTCAGTTATTTTGTGTTTCTTTTGTTATTATTTTATTTGTATATTTTCATTTAGGAACCCGAAGCCTAAAAAGGTAATTAGTTTTGTACTGTATACTAATACTGTATCTTATTTTGTGAATGATTAAACGGCATTACTACTGCCATTATTTAGCTACAATCTCCTTTATCGCATATATAATGTGCATGATTATTTGTTTACCCAGCCCTAGTCACCTGAACAAAATCAGTACTTTTAATAAAGCATTAATTTAACATTTTTCATAAAAAGTGACTATCTTCCAAACATTTAATTCCAGGAGGTGACGGATGTAACTGAGTAACATGAATACACACTGTTTTTTATCTGTACTTAAAAGAGAAAAACATTTTAATTTCAGAAGATATTATTTGCATTTATACTCTTTGTTTTATTTTCTTTAATTAGGTTAATTATATTAAATTTAATGAGAATGTTTATCAAAAGTATACCTGTTTCACAAAGTTAAAAAGCAGAAATGACTTTGCTTTGTGGAATATAAAGTTATTATTAAAATGTTTAATAATATATACATATATAATACATACTATATATACGTAGTTAAAATCTGGGAACAGAGTACCCCATAGTGCACAGTGTCCATGGTTTATGATCATACAGGTGTTGATGTTCTGTTATTTATTTAATTAATTTTGAATACATTACAGGATCACTGTGCAGTATGAATTTGACAGAGATTTGCGACAATGCCAAGAAAGGCAGGGAGTATGCTCTCCTGGGGAATTATGACTCCTCTATGGTGTACTACCAGGGTGTGATCCATCAGATACATAAACACTGCCAGTCCCTGCGAGATCCAGCCCTCAAGGTCAAATGGCAGCAGGTGAGTACTTTAATTGAGGAAAACAACAGAAATATATATATTTTTTTAAATCATTTACTGGTGTACACCCAGTGGCAACCCATGCGAACACATTCTAGAGAGAAGATACAAACTCCACACAGATAGCACTCTAGGAATTGAATGCAGGGCCCCAGCACTGCGAGGGAGAAATGCTACCATTGCACCACCTTGTCACCCTGCATGTTATCACATGTACTTAGCTATCAACTAGCAACTGAGCCCTGAGGAACTAGGAGAGGCAAGTACAGATAATTAGTTCATTATATTGTCACTGAGGATATAAGTCACAAAACGGCACAGGATTTAAAGCCACCTCTTTCTGCTCCTCCCAGGTACGGCAGGAGATAGTGGAAGAATATGAGCAAGTGAAGAGAATAGTGAACACTTTGGAGAGCTTCAAGATCGACAGGCCTGTGGATTTCCCTAACCCACAACCAGAGGAATCCCCACGTGACCCTGATATCTGGCCTCCCCCGACTCCTGCAGAACACAGGTGAGTGCAGGTCTGTCCACACTCTCCCCTTCCTTACACTATAGCCTCATTTGTGCTCATGCAGTTCTGAAGTTACTAACAGCTGCCACATTTTTGTCTTTAGGCAACACACTTTGAAATAAGAAAGCTGATTTGTGTTGGTGTTGCTGCCACATGCTTAAAGGATTATGTAGTTTGGAAAAAGAAACACTCTGAGCTTTCTCTTGTCAGTCCAATACATTGTCACAGTGATAAAAAATGTTTAGTGGTGATGTTCTTATGGCTGTAATACAGGTATGTGTATCGCAACAGAATCTAGTACACAGCCTCATTTTACTTGACCATGCACATTGCAGTTTCATTACTGGATAATTGGATTCTTAAGGATATATTGATATCATGAATGATTTAGACATAATTTTACACGTCATAACATTTGTTAGCTTTTTAGGTACAGTTTAGTTCCAACTGATACTTTCAACTATGAGCTTGATCATAGATCATATTGATCATAGATCTGTGATCATAGATCATATTGAAAATATATTCAGCTGTTAAGATCATCGTTATTAATTTATATATTCTTAACATTTTAAAAATAATTCTTCTGTTTGTTTTGATAAGAAGCAGAATGATTTACACATATTGTAGTCTTTGTTGAGCTTCTTTGTTGGTTCTTAAAATGTCCTTTAACATGTTAACAAAGAGGTCCAAGCCAGGTGAAGCGTCCCAACAGAGAAATGAAACCCCAGAAAAGAGATTCCCCTGTAGTTCAGCACCGGGGGCCTGTGGGCCGGGCACAGCCTTTAGCCAGGGGAGAGAAACCCAGCAGCAGAGAGAACAAGGACTACAAGACTAAAGCAAAAGATGACAAGGTGAATAGTTTCTTTCCATTTGTTTCTGTCATATACTGGTTGTAAGTGTTTAGTTGGACTTTCTGTATTCGGTACCATTTTGTTTCACAAATTCGGTGGTTGCACACTATGTGCTTGGAGCACTGTATGTAAGTCAACTGAAAATCCTGTTGACTTCGCAGCTAAAGGGAGTTCCATTTATTTCCAGGGAAAGAAGAATCCCCAGGATGGAGAGGGGGATCTCAGGAAGTTCGATGGAACGGGATATGACAAAGACTTAGTGGACGCACTTGAAAGGGACATTGTGTCCCGAAACCCCAATGTCCATTGGTATGAACAAATACTGACTGTGACTTTATTGAGCTTGATTTAACTGCTTTTATTAATTCTTATTCCTAACTGTTTTCTCAGTCTAACACAGTGAATCTGTGCCTGGTGCTCAAAAAACAAATTGGAACGCAGGTAGACATTTCTATTGTACCGTATGTGTGTATTTTGAGAGAATTACTCTGGTATGCTTTAAACACGTTTTTATATTTTAAATTTAGAATCATTTGCTGTACCCACCTGATTTGAAACAGCTGTTGGTGTGGTTTTCATGTCTCAGTAGATAGCTACAAACTCAATGACCAGTAAGAAGGAGAATGTGAAACTGTAGACAGGCAAATCCAAACAACCCACCTTCAAGCCACTAAGTCTTTTAACTCGTCACCACAGGGCACCACAGGCCCGTACCAGAGGTTCATTGTTGATTGGAGTGGTCGTGTGTCTCTCCCTGACAGCTTCAGCTGTCACTGACAGCCGAGAGCCCTGGCTGACTGATACCACCAACCCCTCTAAAGTGTCCAATTGTGTCTCCCTTCTTTGGGAGTCCTGGTCATTCTCGGCTGGTGACATGAACCGGGCTTGTCTGTGTGATCGCTAAGCTCAACCTGCACTTGGATAAAACCATTTACTGGTGCTTAGGAGGTGCTTAGGAGGCCCCTTAAACACATTATTTTATAGAAAATTCCAGTGCTGACAAGTGAAAATTACAGAATTGCATTGTGTAGGTGTTACATTATGGCTGTGACAGCACGTTAAGGAATGTTTGAAAGTGATCCCATTTTCCCATTGAGACCACTATTTTGCATTGCCACATTGTGTTGATGTTGTCACAATGTTTAGCTGCAACCAAGCTCTTTGTCTCAACTGACAGCTGTGTTGAACTGCATTGGAAGCTGGCTTCAAAATAATAATCTTTTTTCATTATTGTATACATATTGTGTGTGTTCCTTGTTATAGAACATACAGGCTGGTGAGGCTGATGTACATATTTACTGTTTCCAGGGCTTATGTTCCAAAAGAACACATTGTATACAATTATTTTTTATTTGTGATTGAAAGTACAGTGGATTGAACTACTTAATTCAACTACAAGTGAAAAACATATTTGTAACTGTAACTTTGTGATGCCTTTTTTAGCACATGATCAACATAAATATTACTATTGCAATCCTGTAAATTTAAGGACTAGTACTAAAAATGTAATCTGGTAAGTATGTTGCATACTGTGCTTGTTGTGTGCAAAGATGTGGAACTATGTTTTTTCAGCTTCTTAAGAGAAAACTGCATCATTTACATAATATGATTATACAACAATATATTATTAAGAATTATGCACTTCTTACTTTTGGACAGTCTGTATTTCCCAGAGTGGCTTACAGTATGTCAGGAAGTAAATATATAAGGTGTACGCAACAAAGGCTAAAAAATAAAGAGAGACAATTGTATTTTCAGGGATGATATCGCTGATCTAGAGGATGCCAAGAAGCTGCTGAGAGAGGCAGTGGTACTGCCCATGTGGATGCCAGATTTCTTCAAGGGCATTCGAAGGCCTTGGAAGGTACAACATCACTCCTGCAGGAAATGTAGCAGTTAGAACAACTAAGGATAATGGTGTATGTATGATATGCAGTACTGGCATGAATCGAGGGTGATATATTATCCTTCCATCCAGTTTCTAACCTCTTCCTATTCAGGGCTACAGGGCAGCCAGAGCCTATTCCGGCAAGCAATGGGTGCAAGGCTGAGTACACCCTGGACGGGACACCAGTCCATCTCCGGGTAAACACACAGACACGCACACCGAGGGCCAATTTTCCCAGAAGTCAGTTAACCTAACAGTATGTTTTTGGACTTTGGGAGGAAACTGGCACACCTCCAGGAGCATCTGGAGAACACCCACATGAACACCAGGAAAACATACAAAATCTAGGCAGCACCTGATGTCCACAATTGAACCCAGGGCCACAGTGCTGTGTGGCAACAGGGCTAACCACTGTGCTGCCATGCCACCCTTGATGTATTATGTTCATTAGTAAACCAACTAGGCGATTTGGGATCATATTAGGCCTTTAATGGCATTGACTTGAATTGATAAACGTCACGTTTGAGAAGGTACACCTAAGGGAATATTCAAATCTTAGAACTCCTATTGGAAACCAGTCATCTTATGGGATTTAACTTAAAAAACAAACTGAAATCTGCTCTTGATAATCAAATACAAAAGCTACATTATAATGTTTATCAGTACAAAATAATCATACCAAAAAATTGCTCTTAATCCTTTAAAACAATCTAGTAGTACTAACAGCATGCCAATGATACATTGTACTTAATCGTATTGAGAAATATGTGGAAATGTGTCATAGTTGTGTACTCAAAGTTATAATTTACTTAAATTATTTCAAATTGAACATAGAAATCATTTTATTGTTCTAACTATAGTACTGATTTTTGTGAATAATTTCATTCCACTAGGGGGCTCTGTTGAATAACCAAACAATGTAGTGTCCTTCAAACTAGACAAACTAGAGACCTTCATTCTAATGTGTCCACTATTTCATTATACTATACAGAGGTCAATTTTCATAACCATCCATCTCCATCTTCTGTCTTTCCTAATAAATACAGCGTAGGGTTTCCATATCACCTCGAAATAAATAGATTTTTGATTGAATCAACTAACATAGATGCAGAATAAAAGACCTCATAAGAAACAAACACAGACATTGAACAATTGCATGGCTATTATTTTACAATTTGTTTTTCAGATTGATATACTCTGATACAATATGATTCTTAGTTGTCTTTTTCATTCAAACTACAGTGTATCACTGATTTCACTGCAGGCCTGTAGGACAATGGGAAGTCTCAGACTTGAAGTGGAAGTTGTTATTTCACTAAGGAAGCCCTGGCTAACCAGATCCAACATTACTCCCTGCAGCTTGCAGTCATTTAGGGAGTTCCTTTGCTCTTCACTACACTAAAGACAGGGCTGTAATGAGTGCTGGACTACAGATACTAGCATAATGCATGAATCCACATCACTACATGATGCAAATCAACAAAATGTTTTAATGTGTGACCATGATGTCTCTTTTTGAGGGATTAAATAGTTCTGTAGGCCTGTTTAAAAAATCCTGCTTTTTTGTTTCCGGCTTCATAAAAATCTAGCGTGTGGACTAGTTTTGTGATTCAAGCCATGCTGAATGTTTAAGAAGAGAAAGACATGCATCTTGAAGTGGGTAATTCCGAAGGGAGTATAAAACTGTTACAATTAATTGCTTATATACTTTTATTGCCAGCCAAACTTTTTGATCATCAGGGGTTTAATTATACTTCCAGCAGTATGATATTATTTTTTACATTTTTATTTTTAATGGGTAGTTAAGTCTTGATCTTTATTCTTAAAATTATTAAAGAGCAGTTGCCCTTCTAGCAGTCAAGAACGGAGGAGAAAACTACACATCTTGAATGTTTGATTTAAGAGTGATTATTTTTCTCATACACAGTGTTGCATCTCCTCATTTTTTACACCTGTTTCAGGGGGTGCTGATGGTTGGCCCACCAGGTACTGGGAAGACAATGTTGGCCAAGGCTGTAGCCACGGAGTGTGGAACGACATTTTTCAACGTGTCGTCTTCAACATTGACATCCAAATACAGAGGGGAGTCTGAGAAGCTGGTCCGTCTCCTCTTTGAAATGGTGAGTGGAGAGTGAGGCTGAAAACAGCAGACACGGACACCCCTGAATGCTCCATGACGTAGTGCAGTGTCATAGTGCTAAGACTAGCAAAATCACTGGCATAGAGCTCGTGTCTACGTGTTTAAAGAAACTATGTGAGTTAATTCTTTTTTAAATAGTATTAAAATTTGAGCTGTAAATAATTATATGTTTGCTTGGTTTGACCCAATTATTTAAGAAACCATTTACCGTTAATTAAAAATATTGTGGCAATTAAAATGGGGGCAAGTTCGGTGGGTAGGTGGAGCTCTCAACAGAAAGTGACTTGTTGCTTCGGGAACCACAGCTGGGTGGAGATTAAGACCTAATGAGCCACTTTAAGCTTAATGCCGAACACTTCCCTGAGTGCAGCTCAAGCCAGGACCTCAGTGGACAAGCGAGCACATAAGATCAGCAGTGAGTGGGCTGAACCAAAGCACAACTAGCAATGTGTGTGAGATGCAGCTAGAGGGAGTGTTTAAGGCAAGTGTCTGCCTTATGAGAGAGAGAGACTACTGGCTGCGGCTAAACCCTGAAAAGGGAAGAGAAATTGTAGCGACAGTCTCAAGGGAGACTGTGGAAAAAATGTTAAGAGCACTGAAAGAATGGTAGACTTCAGAAGATCGACTTGTATAAAGAGTCAGCGGCCTATTTAGAGTGTGTGAGATCAGGACTGTCTGTGAGTCTGCAGTGTGGGTAGTTTAACAAGCCTGGTATATTAGTGAGTGTGCCAGACCACGAGGTGTAGCAGAGGGACTCTCCCCTTGGCGATACGTGGTTTTGGGGAAGAGAGAAGAGTCTGTCTTGCTGCTAACCTCTGGTGTAGAGCTGGTGGAATCAGGGCGTCACCGGCGTTACTCAGTATGTTGGAGAAATCCAGTGGGGGCTGGGCACAGGTGCGAGCTGTGCCTGCAGCTGTGTGTTTGTCAAAAGCTCAGGGGTAGTTGGGCGTGGGCGAAGGTGTACCAGAGAGGTGTCAGGGAGGTTGTGTGTGTATTTCAATTAGGGAACATGTATTGAATCTTGGCAAGGGGTGAGGTACCACAGAGATTTAGGTTGTTAGAGACTGCGTGAGCGTGATACCCAGTCTGGTTGAGCCTGGGAAACTGCGAGCGAAGGGCTCGGCGAGGTAAGGGACCTCAACCTGGAAAAGCGGAGGACATGAAAGGGGGCGGAGTGAGTCAGAGTGGGCCAATTGGCTCTGGGCCTGATAGTCTGTGAGATGAGGGCTCAGAGTTCTCAGAATCTGTGCGCCACATGTCAAGAAAGAATAAGAGCTGAAAAGTTCCCCAGCAGTCTAAGAGGGGTGTGTTCAGGGTGGTGGCCACTACCCCTGTGGAGTCACAATATATGAGACAAACAACTTTTGGAATGTCCTCTGAATTTAAATTTCTTACCTCTTAGTCCACTTAGTGTTCAAAACTGTCTGTAAATATTAGCCTTTCTTGACAGGCTAGATTTTACGCGCCAACAACAATCTTCATTGATGAGATAGACTCCATTTGCAGTCGAAGGGGTACATCTGATGAACATGAAGCCAGCCGAAGAGTGAAATCTGAGCTCCTTGTGCAGATGGATGGTGAGAGATGAGTGACGGTTCTTGTTTTTATTGTAATAAGATTAATGAAAACCAGAAATTTTGGTTGAGAGGCTCCACACTCGAGTAACTTGTCTAATAAATAACTCAACTTATTAATAAGTCTGTGAGAATACATGTGTTTTCTCAATTATGCTTTGCATATGATAAAATCTTTTAATCTTATGTTCTACAGTATATGTATTGATATACAGTACATGTAATTTGAGTCATGACTTTCAGAATTCCTATGAGCACACTTGTTCTTGAGCCTGCAGAGGAGAACAGGGTAGAAAAACTAAATATTTTTAGTCTTTAACATAGAAGACAACAAGGGCCCACATCTGACTATTCTGAATAATGAGGAACTGATGAAATCAGCTGACTTCCTTAGAATGAATAGAGGAACACAAACCAGATGAATTCAAGTGGAAAGTATGGGGAGGTGCACCTAAAACTTTTATACATAAAGGGCTAGATGGTTCTTAAAATGTGGTTGTTCATTGACATTTCACCTCCTCTGTTTTAATGTGTAATAGTAAGTTTATCTCAAAGGACAAGAAAACCTCACCAATCTTACAAAAGGAGTACTCGAAAATAAGCTGAAGAGTTGTAAAATGTGATTGAATGTGTTTGTCATTGTTACCAATGAGATGCATGGTTGTGGTTATCCATAAGCAATTAAAATATACAATACTGTAAGTATGTTCTGTGGTATTGATAGAACTTAATCACCAAGGATTTCTCTTTTGAAAAAATACTGGGGTTCTGTTGAATGGTGGGATAGGCTCCAGCCCTCCTGCAACCCTGTAAAGAATAAAGAAGTTAGAAAATGGTTGGATTATGAGGTTCATTTTTTTAGGGGTTGGAGGTGCATTAGAAAATGATGATCCTTCAAAAATGGTGATGGTGTTAGCTGCTACCAACTTCCCCTGGGATATCGATGAAGCATTGAGAAGAAGATTGGAGAAAAGAATTTACATTCCACTGCCTACAGGTTTGTCACATACATATTATATTGTTCATGATATTTGCCATCTAAAATGTGATTCCTGGGATCATACTACTGTATATAAGCCAAATAGTTGATTTAAAAATACTTGACTAACTAATCATCATAATTGCTTAAAATTGCCTGTTTAAATAAAAGTACAGGAAAGGATTACCCACTGCACTGTCTTCAGCTGACACAGTCAGAACTTTCTTCTGCATACAGAGCTAATAGTGCAGGCAATTAACAGTTTTAATCCAATAATGTACTTATCAGTTGCAGTGATTGTTACAGCAGCATATTTTGTGAACCTGTAACAGGGAATCGGGAATCAGTTTTGAAGGTTCAACTAATTAAATTAGTTTTACTGTCTTAACAGCTATAGGCAGAGCAGAGCTGCTCAAGATAAATTTACGAGAAGTTGAAGTGGCCCCTGATGTTGACCTTAATCTCATTGCTGAAAAGATCCAGGGATATTCGGGAGCTGACATAACTAATGTGTGTCGGTTGGTATTCTCTTTTTCCTATTTGATTGTTACCTCTGCATTAAGACTTTTTATAGTTATTTTTTTATAGTTTTTTATAGTTATCTTTCTAGTTATGCACTATTATTGCAATTATGTATCATAAGTGCTCATGACTAATATACAACTTGTATACAACGGAGTTCACAATGGTCCATCAACAGAAAAATCTTTCGTACTGTAAACTGCAGAATTTGAATCTGCCTTTTCTTTCTGTGCCTTGGGAATGAAAGCATTAGTTGGATTTGTAACTTACTTTCTTATGTTCATTTACTATATAAGGATGGGAAAGAGAGGTGTAACATTTTTTGTGGATAAAGGATAAAGCCAAGTGTTCAAGTACAGTCCTGGAGGGCGGGGGCATTTCTGGTTTTCATTATACCACAGCCCTTAATAAGCAGCTGAACACAAAAATGCTTAATTGGACCTGTGGAAGGTAGAAAATCAAAGAACTGTAGAACCTGCTGGACGTCAGTCCTCCCCTGTCTCCCCTGTCTCCTTTGTTTGCATATCTAACTGCTATGTAACACAGCAGTGGGAGTGCAAGAAAAGGTTTTTTTTTTCTAGCCATTTTTTATTTAGTGGGTTTATTTCTATTTCTTTCCCCTGCCCTGCAGCGATGCTTCGATGATGGCAATGAGGCGGCGTATCCAGGGTCTCAGTCCGGAAGAGATCCGCGCCCTGTCCAAGGAGGAGCTGCAGATGCCGGTGACGATGGAGGACTTTGAGCTGACACTGAAGAAAATCTCCAAGTCTGTTTCGGCTGCAGACCTGGAGAAGTACGAGTCCTGGATAAAGGAGTTTGGCTCTGTGTAGCTGAGCTGTGGTACTGAAGCTCTTTTATCTCCCAATCAAGGGACCACAAGGAGGGTATACGGAGCATGGCCTCCCCTTGTTACAGTCCCCTCTAACTGGAATGTGTTGTTTGTTATTTATTGTTTACCTGAAAGGAAGGCCTTTTTGCTAGCTCTTAGAGACTAACTTCTTTTTAAAAAGCACCTTTTGTTTTAGGAGCTACATAAAATAAATTAAATCTTATACATGAGTGTTAGTCATTAAGCAATGTGAATTTTGGAATTATCCACTAAATGCGTTCAACGTTAGACAAAGGTAAAGAACTACATTTTAAAACATTGTTCACCTTGCACATCTACACACGTTCGTCTTTGTACAGTATGTCCTTATGATGAAATGATATTTGTTGGTCCCTGAGCCATTCCTACTCCAGCAGGTGGCCCACATTGTCATCATTGAAGATCAATTTAAGATCTTTCTTCACCCTGCCAAACAGATGAAAATTCAACTGTGTGAGATCTGGACTCTTAGGGTGTTAGGATAACAGTTCAAACAGTTGAGGTCAATCATCTCAATGCAGTGTTCTGTATCCCCCACCATGTGTGGGCAAACATTGTCATCTTGCAGAATGACAGTACTAATAATCGTCACTGGTTTCAGACACATTTAGTAAAAAAGTATGTGTGCTTTTGTATATTTATTTATTTTGCTTGTAAAGACCTTTCTTTAAAAATGCCTGTGTTTAAACCTCTGCTACTGAACATTTATGACAGAGATATTGAAAATGGTTTTGGATAGCAATCAGTTTATGGAGTCCTAAGTCCTTCTTGTGCTGTTGTTTTTTTTTTACTAACAAATATCACAAGGGTTTTAAAGCCTGTCTTTCACATGTCTTTTAAAAAAAGAGATTATGTGAATTTCATCAGTGAAATTACTACTGACCAACTTTTACCTATTCTTTATTACTAACAATACTTTCTTAGTTAACAGTTAAAATATTTGCAAACTAAGTCTTCTTCCTCTTTCCCCTCCTTTCACCAGCACTGTCATTTTTGCAGATCTAAAAGAAATCAACAGAACATTACATTCATTTGTTAAATCCTCATTAGCAGCACACTTTGAAAAAATGAATTCCAACCCAATTCTTTTTCCTTTGAAAGACATACTACTTATTACAATGAACAGAAAAAAAAACTGTTCCTCTTCTCTTTACTGGAGTAATTGATGTATGCTCCACTTTAAGGGAAGTGGAACACATACAGAATTGGTAAGATTGTCATGGGCCAGAAACTATTAGTTTGATTTACATTTTCTGTTGTAACACAACACTCTAATGTGCTGTCAAAAGCATTTCCTTGTGAATGGTCTATGAACTAATTGAAACAATTTGTAAAATGTCACTGCTCAGTGTAAACTAAGGAAATCAATGTCTCTAGATTCAAAGGAGAGACTGCTAAGGATGTGAGCTGGATGGTTAAGGGTGTTAGTGTAAGTGAGCCTTTTAGATAAACATTAATGCAGGGAAATATGCTGCAGCAGGAAGAGAACATTCTAGCTGAAATTAAAGCTTTTTATAAGAAATGATAAAAGAGAGTGGCTTGTGGACAGATGCTGTTTGTTATAATGAAGTTAGGAAAGGGCTTTAAGTGTCTTTGCTTGCAAATAGCTTTTAGTATATTCAAACATTAGACAGTACCAATGATTATTGGGGAATTAAACTCTTTCATTCTAAACTGCCAAGCTTATGCTTCTTCAAGATGAACATACTGATGGTTGACCCATTAAGATGAGCTTAATAGCTAATTGCTATTAAGCTCATTTTTGTTTTCACTTACACTCCACAAAAAGGAAAATGGTACTGAGAGGGTTTGTATGGTTAATGATGGAGTCATCAAGCTAAACTAAGCTTGATTGTTTTTTTTTTTTGCAAACTGTAACAAATGCCAACACGATAATGGTAATTTTGTTGCTGAGTTTTTTTTTTGCAAGAAATCAAACGTAGTGAGGACATCATGACATCTATGCTTCTTTCAAAGACAATATCAATTGTTTCGCATAGTTGCTGTTTTGGTGAACAGTATGGTTATGGTAAAGAAACAGCATTGAGTAAGAAGAGTGTTGTAAGAAATTCTAGAAAAAACTGCTCACCAGGATGGGCTTTTCAGTTTATGGTATTGAATTCTTCTTCAGTAAACTCCTGCACCCATTAGTTGTAATGCAGTTATTTTGCCATGCATTACAATGTCTGTGATCACAGAAGGTGTTATCACTTTCATCCGCTTTGTATTATTAGTAATGATTAGTATTATTCATTTTCTTTTTCAACTCCCTTCCCAACACCATCCAGCACAATTTTTAGAAAACCAAAGGGTACTCATTGCCAGAAATGTTTTAGCAGCAGCAAATAGCTCCACTACTGTATATACAGTATTTAGAAATGTGTCTATATGTATTAGTGCTTTGCTTGCTTGAAGTGCTTGCTGAGAGCTTTATTTAATTATTTTATTTAATTAACCACAGTTTAATTAAAAAGAAGGAATGAATACTGCATTTCTTGTGTTTTTTAAAGTAAGATAGTGTCCTTATCTTTTCCTTTGTTGATATGTAACAGCTATGATTTCCTTCCACAGTGTTTTTCATATGATAATAAAACTACAGATTAAGGAAAGGGAAGGGTCAGGCTATGATGCTGAAGTGACTTCATTTCCATACACAATACCGGAATGGTCCTCTTAATGAGTGAAAGGCGATATTGAGCACTGACCTTAAATAATAGAATAGAGTTGTAAAAAGATATCTTATTTCTCTCAGGTGTTTGTGTCTAATAAAGAACTCTAACAACTTCAAGGAAATTTCCTGATGTATTACTTGCAGTTGCAATTGAGTGAACAGCTATCTGTTATTCAAAGATAGCTGGCATTCAAAGAGAATGGGTTTTAGTGGTAAGTGAGTCTACTTGTTAAAGGTAAACAAAATGAATTATTGTCTCAGTGTTAAAGAAGAATATAGTTTTCTCTGTCAAGTAAAATAGGCAGGTTCTTTGAGGCAACATGTGCCTGTTTTGCCAGGATCAACAGAGTCACAGGAAACAAACTTATCTCTTTCAGTTGAGCAGGTTGAAAGTGTGTGCCTTTTCTTAATCTTTTTCTTTAATACAACCTAGGTTTAAAGGAGGGACTGTGAGGAGAAAGACTTTGAATACACATTTATTATTATTATTTTTATTATTATTATTATTATTATAAACCAAAGCAACTGAAAAATAACATTCAGTAAAAATATAGCAATGGCACTGTGCAAATGTGGCTGGCTTCTTGAACACCAGTGAGGGGCCTGGTATTCGGACACAGGGCTGTGGAACTAAGAGCTGTCCCATTTGTTTGTCATTAACTATGAATACTAATATCAGCCAGACGAAGGTGTAGTTTGTGTTCTGTTAAAGCTTTCTTGAGCTGTTAAGAATTCCCCAAATTATCTCTATAAATAAAAGAACACACCAAATCAAATCTGAGTTAAAAAAAAAACACAGATTAGAAACCGTTGTTTCTTCTCAGATGTGGAAGACTTCTATTTAAAAAAATAGTCCCCTTGGACATCCACTCATATTTTTAGTACAGATCCTTTGCATACTTTTGCTATTGCTTTGCTAGTCTATGGATACCATTCCTGCATTGCCACATATAAAACAAAGACATACAATATTTTTGGATTAGTTCATTAATAAACACTTCAATAGTAAATATCCTTGTGTGAATAAATATGTGACCCCTTAGATTTAGTAGGTGTTTCCTGCTTTAGCACCTTAAACTTAAACTAGACATTTATGGTAACTGTATCAGCCTCTTACGTCAACTTTTAGGAATTTTGGTCCATTCTTCCTTTCAGAACTGTTTCAGGTTGGTGACATTTGAGGGTTTCCTTGCGTAATCAGCTCACTACAGGTCCTGCCCTAAACTTGCATAGGGCTTTAGGCCCAGACTTTGATTTGGCCAATCCAAAATGCTAAATTTCTTCTTCAGCCATTCTGCCATAGGTCTGCTTGTATGTTTATGATCATAACCTTGCTGCGTGACCTTTTTCCTGTTCAGCTTCAGATGATGAATGGATTGCCTGTCTTTCTCAACACTGATGAATTGCAAGTCTTCTGGGTCCTGAGGCAGCAACACAACCCCAAACCATGATATTCCCACCGTTATGCTTGAAAGTTGGGGTGACGTTCTTCTGTTGAAAAGCAGTGTTTGTTTTTCTACACACAAACTTTTTCTCATTGTGAATAAAAAGTTAAAAATGTGACTATTCTGTCCAGAAAACATTCTGCCATTAGCCTTGTGGATCAGACAGGTATTATGTGGTGAACTTGAGATGGAGAGCAACGTTTTCTTTAGAGAGGTGATTTCTTCTGAAACTTTTCCCATGAAAACCATTCTTTATGGTTGATGCATGAACACTGACATCAGTTACAGGGAAAGAGGCCTGCAGATCATTATAATCACAATCTTTATTTTATATAGCATACTTTACAGAATGACAACAACAATAAAAAGAAATACACAAGATATGCACAATGAAAATACACAGTGAACGGAGATATTAGATGGGGAGATGAAGGGTAAATAACAGCACCAGTTAAGTAAAGGCTAGATTTGAAGGACTTTAGGGAAGGTGACTCTTTGATATCCTTAGGGATAGAGTTCTAGAGCATTGGGGCCTAACAAGAGAAGGCCCTGTCACCCATGGAATGTTGACACGCTTGGAGGACAGATAGGAGACCAGAATTAGAAGAGTGAAGGTTGAGAGGTGGGGAGAAAGACGATAGTAGCTCAGATAGGTACTGAGGTACCAAGATATGCAATGCCTTATAGGTGAGAACGAGGATTTTGAAGTCAACATGAAACCTGACAGGAAGCCAGTGCAAGGACTCCAGGATAGGAGTAATGTGATTACTTGCACTAGACCTGGTCAGGATTCTGGCTGCTGAATTTTGGACATACTGGAGTTTGTTCAATGTGGATTTAGAAACCCCAACGAGTAGAGTGTTACAGTAGTCAATTCGGGAGAAGACAAATGTGTTGATCAGCTTTTCAGCAACAGTTAGTGATAACATAGGATGTAGTCTAGTGATATTTCTGAGGTGAAAGAATGATGTTTCAAAAATATATTGCACATGTGGGTTGAATGTCAAACCTGAATCAAATATCACCCCCAAGTACCATCAGTACCATCCACAGCATTGGCTTTATAAAGTTGATGGGGGGGGGTGCCAATAAGCATGACTTCAGTCTTGTCACAGTTTTGATAAAGGTAAATTTGAGTTATCCATGTTTTTATGTCAGAGATGCAATTAGAGAGAAAGAGACAGCCACATCAGTGTCAGGTTTGATATGGATGTAGATTTGAGTATCGTCAGCATAGAACTGATAGTTGAGACCATGTGATAATAAAAGCTCACCAAGCAGAAACATGTAAATGCTGAAAGTAGGAGGCTCAGGAGTATTGAGCCCTGAGGAACAGCAGACATTGGATTTTATTTTGGAGTCCTTTATAACTTCCTGGATGATTTTTCACATTTCTCTTGGGGAGACCTTGGCAGGATAACCGATCTTGGGTAGAGTCCCTGTGGTCCTGAATATTTTAATTTGTAGACTACGTGTCTGACAGTTAAAGAATGCACATCCATGGTTTTGTAACATCTACAGATGGATGAACATCACCTTCACTTTTACTGTGGGCCTCAAAAAGCTTTTGATCATGACACAATATGTTTTCACTAACCAAATAACACCCTGTTTAAAAACCATGTTTAAACATTAACCATGGTTAAACACGCCAAACACACTAAGTTTCTGATAGTGCTGCCCAAACAGACCAGGCTTACTTGTTACCCAATTTAACCACCTGATTCTAATTACCCCTATAATTGTGCTTAGTAAACTGGGGATTCACTTATTATTTCACAAACACTGATTCTTAATTATTATTATTTTTCTTTTTCATACATACATTTTTCTTCATAGAAATCAGTTGGAGACCTTCGGCCTGTGACAGAAAGTTTAGGAAATTCATTTGTTTCACTTCCAGGATCCTTTAAACAAGGCTTTGATAATAAAGTCACCGGTTTGCTTTGATTCTGTCATCACTGATGCAAACACATGCCAACAATGCCATTTGCTGAACTGTTTTTCCTGTTTTGATTATTGTAACATGCATCAAAACACTCCATTTACATGATTAGACAGAAGTCTAAAGGAAACATTGCAGCTCATTGATAGTCAAGCTGACCCTGTTTGCACAGGAAACCGTTAGCTTAGTTGAAATTCAGAGATTTTCTAGAGTTTGTTTGTCTTTGTCTGTAGATAGCCCACCTATCATTGGGAGTTTTCTAATAAAAGAGTGTAGTGAGAGTGCCATGCAAATCTTTGCTCTTGGCTCATGTGTCTCTATTAATTCCTCTTCATGCTGGCAGAGCTCTTTACCATTTGAAGAGAATCTTTCCCAAACACTGACGGCTTGTAACAGATGTGGTTGTCCTTAAAAGTACTGTCAATGACAGTTGGGAAATCTGGAAGGAAAGCAGAAATTTACGATTGCCCATAGCAGCCAAGCATTGATCAAAATGTCTTCTGGTTTAATAGCCTCACAACCTAGACTTGCAACAGACTTGTAGCCTGATGTGTCTAGGAGGGGGTTCATACTGTAATGCTGTTGTGTTTCTTATGTGACTCAAATGCAGCTGGAGGTGGTGTGTTGGATGAAGTACAGTATGTTATGAATGTATTTTTATTGATCTTATTATTTTTTATAAGAGGCCCATTGGTGGCCAGCACCTAGTCCTTGGAGACAAAATGTATGTGCTAATACTAAAGCAGTTTTCAAAACTTGAATTTCAAACATATCTACAATAGTTACTATTTAGTATTTTAGAGATAATGTTGTTTCAGACCTAAATGTGTGTAACTTCAATTACTAGTGAATGCCCAACATGTAATAATGAAAACACAATTTCATCACTGAGTAAGGAAATATTTTATATTATTTAACATTTACTCCCATTTTACTTATTACTTTTTGTAATAATGTTTAGCTGTGCTAAGATCGATGGCTGCCATAGTAACAGATGACTCTTGTGAAAAGAGTTTGTCAAGAGGCTTCTCAAATTGATTGGGTGAACCCATATTAGGAGAGATTATTTGCGCCCAAATTAGTTATATTTTTAGTGCAATGGGAAAGTTAAACACCTTTGCAGAAATTAATTTCCTTGAAACTGAAAAAAACAGTACCACACTCGGCAGTTGTAATCTCATGGTAAAAGCTTGGTGTTTTCTCAGAGTGAAAAGTGTTAACTAAACTGACACACTAAACATTCAATATAACAGATTGTTAAATATACCAAATCTTTCATCATATGTATTTTGGGATGTAAATTAATAATTCATTAGAGGATGTACAGTACATACATGTACATACTATACATCAACAATACCTAACAAGCAGCATTTTTAGTAAATATATACTATAACAGAAACAATTCTAGGTGTTTATGAGTACCTTTCATTCTGTTCACTTAAAGATGTGATGTTATGTAGTTTATGAATTTTGTTTTTTCACTGTTGATAGCAACCTTTCAATTTAAGCAATAATTTTAATCATCACAATCTGAACAGGATTCCTGAAAAAGCTCTCTCCTCCAAAAGCACTAAACTAAACTGGAGCCACTGAAGCCTGTTGACAGCATTCCTTCTTTCAAAGCCCAGTTTTTTAAATGAGTCCTTTATGCTTCTTTATGCACTGAACCCCTGCAGGCTCCAAAGCAACAGCAAGAATGCCCAGCACTGCCTGCATTCTGAGGCCTCTCTTGTCAGTAAACGCTGTGCCAAGCAGTCAGTGAACGGGTCCCTTTTCAGGACATGTTCTTCGGTGAAATGCGAGCCAAAACAGTCCAAAACATCCCAGCTGGATGCAGCCAGAGATCGTTCTGTGATCTTACATAATTATGTTTTCTGTTCAGTGGATTCTTAGAGGAGATCTTCCAAGATCTTGAAAACCACACTCAATGTTTCACTGATGTTAAAGAAAGTAATTCCTCAGCATCAGGAACATCTTGACACTGTCTGGACAGGACTTGGCAATGCAGGCCATGTAGGGAATATCTGATAATGAAAACCTGTTGTAAATAGTGAAACCACTAATTGTTGTCTTTCCTATATATTAAATTATTCTATATGTTCAGACCGGAAATGTTTTGCATACACAGTAACACCATTTCCTTTGTTGCTCTAGATATAAAGAGAAACAACTAACCAGTTGTTTGCCAAACATTCCACATTCTCTTAGATATGCTGATACAGAACCTGTTCCCAAGGTGTTTTTGGGGTCCCAACACAACTTCTGTCCATGTATTATTTTGTCTCCCCATGAGCACCATCATTTCTAATACTGATGACAATCATGAAAAATTTACCCTTGGAGCCCACACAGTTTAGAGTACCAGATATGCTCCAAATTCCTCCACTTGGTGTTGAAGGGATGGCTAATATTTCATGCACAAGCCCCAGATCCTCACGATGAGCAGGAACAGAGTTACAATATTCCTTTTCCATGTTGTTTTTAATGAAACCTCTTTTACTGTGACATCCAAAGCTCAGTAACATGATCTGTAATTAAATAAATTCATCCATTAGGATCAAAGGCGATTCTTGATTTTTTTAATTCATATATCTAGATCTCACAACATATAGTGACATTCAAACATATTGGCTTCTGCTTGTGCACTGTATCTTTTTTTGTGTTGCCCTGACAAATCATGGATCTAACCATTTTAGAGCTAGTTTCTTACTGATGCTAAAGTGCAAAACCGAAAAAGTTTAAGTTATTTTAGTTTGTCACCATTAACTGTGATTTGTACCATGATCACCAATGCAAACGTACTACCACACCCTTCAATTGTTTTGCTTTTGGGAATTTTAATTTTACACAGCTCAGATTTGCCTGCAGGGTATGACGACTTTATTCAGGTCTAATGAAGGCCCATTTTTTTACATTAATGAATGCGATGTACTGTGAAAACTTGCTTGGTTGAGGTGCTTGAAATCTGTTAATACTGTGATTGAAAGCAGTCTGACATTCTGTACCATTATACCAGTGTATCAATGCCCTTTTTCACAAGACTTTACTTCAAAGGCTGTATAGTAGGTCTTTTTCACACTCTTTTTTGCCAGTCCTTTTGAGTCCGTTATGATGCAGACCTCTAGTGAATGCCCATCAGAAGATTTTGGGGTAGAATCACTCTTTGGCTGTTAGGGTAGAGTGCAGGAAAATATTTAAATAGACCATTGGCAGCCTGTTTGAAAATCGGATTGGAAAGCGCATGGCATTAGACCAAGCGAGCAGAGAGAAACAAAGAAAAAAGCAAAACATCGACAAAAACAAAAATGATGCTTCAGGCCTTGGAACAGCAGTGTTTTTGTTCAGACACATTAGAACCTTTTTCATTTTGATTAAGCAACCAGATCTTACACATTTCAATTAGGGGAACGCTGCAGGCTATGCTCAAACATATGATATAAAAAAGAGTGCAGAAAATGGGAATAAGGCAATGAAGCTCTGCTCCGAGAACTTCAGGGAGAAACGAAAAAAAAAAAAGGATTTTACAATCCTGGAAGGTACAATCAGCAGAGACCAAAAATTACATTAATTAAAAATACCTTAAAAACATTTGACTTTAACACGTGTTGTTTTGAGGCTCAGCAAGAGATATGGCTAAATCCCACAGAATAATGTGGTTTACAGGGTTCAATAACCTCTCTCTAGAGCACAATGTTGTAACCAATTATTTGTTAAGTCATCTTTAAATACTTTGTTTTGGACCCATTCACTTGGTATGGAAATTACTTCACTGACTGGTGATTGGCTGTTTCAGCATTGACAATGACTTGTGTTGACCTAGAGGTCATCAATTTTCTCCATGCTGTGATAAAGTTATTCAGCTATGGGAATTTCAGATTCAATCTGGATGTTTTTGTCATGTGTAGGCTACCTGTAAGTAATACAATTCTGTACATTTTTCATTAATTATATATCCCTAAAATACCAGCTTGGTATACAAACTTTTGTCATAAGCCCAGGCCAGGATGCCCCTTGGAAACTGTCTAACAACTTGGATACAAGAAATGTCACAATATGTAACTGTAGCCATGGTAACAACTATCATCTCTGAAACATCAAGGAGAAAATGTTTAAAATCACTTTTTGTCTATTACTGATGATTTTCAATCTTATTTAGCATATTATACCTATAGGCAAACTAAAAAGTCAATAGAAAGCTGTACTGTTTCTTTTTTTAAGGCATTAGAAGGTGTTTATTTTAGGCTACATTATAACAGTTGTTTACTTCTTGACAAGGCAGTATTTGCAAATATACCTTTTGCTTCTAGCAGCAGCAATCTTCTGCTTTTGAAAGTTGTATTCTCCCCTTGCACTTAAATTTTCTAATTCTTCTCTCATGGCTCTCTGTTCAGTGTTTTTTTAATTGCTTTGTGGCATGACTCCCACCCTTACAGACTGTGAGTGCTGCCAGATACCGTGTGCCAGTATCAGGTGTTGAGGATATTGGCATTATAAGACATGCCATGGCACTGTTTTGTGCAACATTAATTAAAATCAATGTGGAAGGCTTTCATGACAGTTGAATAATATATGTAAACATGGTGTTAATTTTCTGATTATTTGTAGCAGAAAAATGCGTCCCTTCATCTGAACTCTTTTATTTGTTAGAACACAAAAAGCATGTGTTTTAATGGACTATAATGTGAGTGTAGTTACAATTTATTTAATTCAAAATACCAGACTTGTCTGAGTTTTGGAAAGTTATGAATGGTGTCTAAATGCAGTTGCTTTATAACATACTTTATAGCATACAAATAAAACACATTTTATTAATCAAATCATCACCATTATATTTCACCACAATTCAGGATCATGGTGGCTCAGAGCCTATCCCGGGAAGCAGCAAACACAAGGTGGGAACATTTCATAAATGTTTTTGTAAATGTTTGATTCATTTAAAAATATTTAGCTGTTAAAAGTATAAAAAGTTACCTATATAGGCCCCTTTCACACTCTGTGTTTACTTATTGTCTAGCAATCATAAAGAATCTTTAGGGTAATTTAGAGGTGAAAAAAGGTAAAAACAGTTTCTGAGAAGAGGAATGTGGTAGAGCATTTTAGTACAGGCCTACACGTAGTACAGTATACTGTACCATGAAAAGTGAAGTATGAATTACTGCTTCTGTGGTGTTTATTGAAAAACAAATGCTTTAAACCGATGTCCATACATTAGTATTAGTAACAGTATTAGACAATGGAATCCTTTATCGCTATATCCATAAATGTCGTTCTAACAGCTTTATTAAATGTATGTAATACTTTTTTAAAAATACTATGAATATAATTGTACTGCTTATTAGTACAGGTAAACACAACAGTTATTTATATAATTTCTAAAAATAATTTTCAATAGATAAAACACATTTAAAAAAATCGGTAAAGTTCGCAACCATGTTAACTCTTGGGTTAGTAAAATAAATGTTTCGGAAAAGATGGTCGGAAAAATGTTTTTTCAATATATTCTGTTTTATCCTTAAAACATAACATTTTGAAGTGAAAGAGTACAACAACCCCCAAAACCAACAACAAGTTTCGTGTTTTATTTTTAGATTTGGACAATATCTCAATAAAAAGAAGACGTGAAAATGCCAAGTGGATTGGCGTTGTGCAGTGGGTGTGCCATTCAGTAATAGAGCCGTAACTGAATCCCTATGGATACAGCATTCATGGATTAGCTCCCCTTGTGCCTTTGCCTGAAGGAATGAATCACGGCAAATCGTTCACTAACATTGGATTTCGTAGTTTCACACAAAGAATGACGGTTGTTAGAAATACCCAGTGGTGCACTTATCCGGGCCCTTTTGGAAATCACGGTTCCTGAAGCTCAAATTAAAGTGAAGAAAAGGGAAATCGGTCTAGTGATTTGGGAAACAGCTGGAAAGCATGGATACCTGGGGCTTTAGAAGGATACCATACCTCATTCTTATGTTTTATTGGTTGGTAAGTAGGCTTGCACTGTCCATGTTTTTAGACCCGTTTAATTGCATTAGTTTCAATGTTTTTATCGTTTTTTTGGATTTTTGTTTTACTTTTTAGGACACTTAGAATAATATATATATATAGTATTTCTGAAGTTGCGGTTGCTCAAAGCACAGCTATAGTTCCCCTTCCTTTGATGAGTTAATTGTGCGTAGCACGCAGTAGTCGTCTAGTGTTTAAGATGGCTATAAATGGGTACTTGTTGTCATGGCAATCCTAAATTGTGAAATTAACTGCTGTACCATTAAATTCTTTCTGGTATTAATGAATATAAGAGGCTGGGCTTCGATAAAAAAGTACTTTGATGTACTTGTTAAAAAGTTGTGACTGTAGCCCTCTGTATACGAGTGCTGCAAGGCAAGTAAGAGCCCTGTACCCTAAAATTTAAGCTTTAATCTCTAGCTATAAACCGAATGCTTTTATAAAAACATAATGCTTTTTATGCTGCTTTTATTGTTTACTTTGGGAACAAATGAGTTAATGCGTTCAATTATTCCCATGCACCGTACAATATATCCAAACAAATAAAAACAGATCTCTCTCATTCTTACAAAACATAGAAAAAAAAGATCTTGCCTGGAAGGATATTTTGTTTTTTTCAAAATAAATTATGTTTGGATTTATTGTTAAATTAAGATATAAATTAGTAGTAAACATTTTTGTACTAAGTAATATTTGTCTTTTACCTTATTTTACATTATGTTCATTTCCCATGAGAAACAAAAGCATATGTTACACAGATGATACGTTTATCATATTTTCATGCAGTTGTACGTATTCAAAATATTTGGTCAGCAGAAGTTTTTGGTCATTATTTGATTCATTTATAGTTTTTATGTATTTTTATTTACAGCATTCGTTTCTAATTTTGGCCTAAGATATTTACTTATCTACTTTAAATGTTTCCAAGGAGAGCACATAAAAAGCTTTATATCTAATTGAGCTGCATCAGATTTCCTTGAGTTAAGAAAAACCTTTTCTGTGGCAGGGGGTTTCTTCAGAATGGCATGCCAGTAGCTTTACAGACTGAAGGACAAGTCTTCATTATACAGGAGAACAATGCCAAGTGCCTGGGGGACATGAACAATGTAACACATTCAAGTCTATCAGCAATGCAGCTAACGTACTGTAAGCAGATACCAGAACTGCTAAAGGAAAACAAAACAATTAAAAAAAAAAAACATATAAGTATAACAAAAGCTTATTGTGTTTTCACAGGGATTTGTTACTACTAATAAAATGCTTGTTTCTTCTGGTTCTGTCACTTGTTTTACAAAGCATTGTATGTCTTATTTGTAAACCAGAACCACAGGTCTGGCTGACTCTGATGCTGCATTGAGGAGAGGAACAATACATGAATAGCAGGGTAGATACAATGCAGCAAAGAAGAGGTATTTTCATCTTTTCCCAGGAGTGTTCCAGGTTGCAGAAGAAGCCTATACATAAGTCCTGCCTATATTTCTGAATTGAAATGCTTCACTTAGAATATCACTCAGTCTGAGTAACAGGTAGAAAACTGAATAAGAAATATGGTTAGTTGTTAAGTGTGTTCTGTCTTGCAGGAAACATCTGACAATGTCTTCCAAAAAATAAAAGCTTCACTACTCTGCTAGAAAGTTCTGTATCAATATGCATAGTAATTCTTTTCATTTGTAATCCCATTCACAGGATGTTAATGCTACAGTTGTACATTGCCTACCCTTTCAAAATGTCACAACTTCACCTGGTAACGACAGTATGTGGAAGACGTCATCTTTCGCTGTGGCAGGGAGAGAACAGGAGGCTCTTTCCCTTCTCTCTCCAAAGAATTCAGATGAAATCCACTCACAAGGCAGAGCCACTGCACATCTGCGCAGCAGACGGTTTAAACAGCTGACTTTTTCTAAGCCTGTGTATTCCTTTGAAATAAACGAGGATACACCTCCAGGTAGGGTAAATAACCGGTGTTTTTCTAAAATACTTCATATTATTTTAGCTTTTTGTGAAAACTTTGCTATTTGTGAACTTTATCAACTTAATTTGAAGCCCACAAGAAATAACTTTATGGGAGTTCTGGGGAGAAGTTGAAATGGTTACAGTAAGCAAGTGCAGTTTGTGAGGTTTATTGAAGTGATACATTATATATAGCTCACACCCTCTTAGTGTGGCTTTGAATGTGCTGTCCCTTGAGCTTTCTCAGAGTAAAACATGCTAATCATCTCTTTTGTGTCCCAAGAGACCCGGGATCATCACAGCAAACCTAATTTGAAAATGCTACCCAGAATTCAGCCTTTTAAAATTGTTATTAAAGTCTCGACACTGCAGGTGTTTGCAGTTCTTCAGAACTCCTGCTGTCACCTCAGCTTGTCATTCCTGGCAAGAGCTGCTAATAGCCTATATTTCTCTTCCATTGCTTAAAAAAACGATGGGACTTGCATTATGATGTAATATTCCACCAATTCCCAGTTTTATAAATGTGTCCATTTGACCGCAGCTCCACATTTTCACTGAGGCACTCACTCATTCTTAGCACAGATCTGTAAAAAACCACCACAACTTATAAGGTGATTCAATGCACTGTAACAGAGGAATGTCTTCTATATATTCAAAAAAAAAACAAGCCTGCAAACCAATTCTTACTCATTTGTTAAAGTTAAATAGTAACCTTTTATTGAAAGAAATCATCATGAATGAAGTTAATGAACTGGACAAAAGCCTGTGAAAGGTTTTCTAAAAGCTGTCTTATTTTACTTTTTCTAGGAACAGCACTGGGGTTTGTAGAAGCCAGAAATATTGGTCAGGACAGGCAGGCCACCTACTCCCTGGTGGAAGATGATGGTGATGGCCTTTTTGTGCTAAACCCGAACACTGGGGAGTTCACACTGTCTCATGTCCTGGATTATGAGATTGAGCAATATTATATCCTCACAGTAGGAGCTGGTTTAGGGCAAGAACAGTTTGCAAGGGTGAGGGTGTATTTTAATGTTCTGGACATCAACGATAATTCACCTGTCTTCAGCCTCGATGCCTATACTGTTGCTGTGCTGGAAAATATCCCCACTGGAAGCTGCTTCTTCAGCCTCAATGCCACAGATGCTGATGATGGTTTGTACAAGTGTCAAGATTTGAGCTGTTCTGTATGGATCCACAATATACATTGATGCATATCTATGGGATATCTTAGGATTTTGAAATGTAATTTTATTTATCTTTAAACTTGCATGAAAAAAGCTGGAACTCTACTGCCAGTATCTGCAGCTGTGCAGAAAGACTGGATTGATGTGAGAAAGCACTGTTTTTTCTTCAGTGAAGGATTATCCTAAATGATTGACAATCCCCTATTCCTCAGTCCTGAATTGTTGGCTAATGATGCCCCATACCCACACAGCTGCCTAGCAGAGTGTGTCCTACTTACTTCAAGTGAAACCCAGGCGCTCTGTGAGCAACAAATGCTGTCAGGCCCTTGGGGACAAAATGGCTTTGAATATAGATAACCACTGGAGGTTAATCGGCGTAAAAGCTGTGGCAGGTACAAAACTACCAAGTGCAGATGCTTAACCTCTTGGACAAAAGCCTAGGGCAAGCGGGATGGTTTAAGCCAAGCTTATTAAGTCTTACATCACACATTCCTCTCTGTCCTTCAAATAAAGTCTCTCTCTTAGCCCAATACAAAAAGTAAGAATCAGCTGAAGCGGAAGTATTCTCAGAGGTTTTGAGTGAATTGGTCAGGAATACTGAAACTGATAGTCCATTGAGGTTATAGTGTTTGTTTTGCTTGTTTTTCTTTCTGAAGCTATCTTCCTAGACTTGTGTGAGTACATTTCCACCAAGGATTTATCACTTGTCTTTCCTTTCTTTTACATTTAAGAGGGACTATAGGGGTGTTTAGTTACAGTGGTTTGTAGTTTTTTGGTACCATTTCTTATTACTCAAAAATTTCCTTTGCATAGAGGCTTGCATAGATATCAAACTATGTCATCGCTTTTTATATCAGAGGTAAAAAATTTGAAGACTAGACATTACCTCTGTTCTTTCAATTGATTGCTGCTTAAAAGTCCTTTTATTAAATCGGATATTCTTTCACAGGATTGAATGCAGAACTGAACTGGTCAGTGATTTCAGGTGATGAAGAGGGAAGGTTCGCAGTGGGGTCAAATGGTGTCATCTGCCTACAAAAAGAACTAGACAGGGAAACAGAATCTATATATAGTTTAACAATCCAGGTCTGCGACTGTGCTCTGCCTGAAGACTCACGTCTTACTAGCACCACACATGTTACCATCTATGTAGAAGATGTCAATGATAATGCCCCATTTTTTAATTCTGGCAAAAGTGTTCATGTTCTAGAAGACACTCCACTACATGCTGTAGTCATGACTGTCCATGCGGTGGACCTGGATACAGGGGCCAACAGTGATATTGAATACAGTCTGGAGAACCTGTCAGGGAAGGCCTTCCGGATTGATAGCTCAAGTGGGAGAGTGTTTCTGGAGGAGAAACTTGACAGGGAAAGTACTGGTTTGATGACTGTTCTACTGACAGCCCGAGACAAAGGATCGCCTCCCCTTTCCACCTCCATGAACCTTTCCGTGCTCATTGATGACGCCAATGACAACAGCCCGGCTTTTACACAGAGTGCTTACAACGTGACAGTGATGGAAGATGCCGTGCGAGGATTGGATGTGCTCCGGGTCTTTGCTTATGATTCTGATGAGGGGGCAAATGGACAAGTCCGCTATTCCATTTCCCAGAGTCCTTTCCTGATCGATTCCGTGACTGGAACTCTTTCTGTGATGGACAAATTAGACCGAGAGAAGAGCCCAACACATACTGTTACTGTTACGGCGGTGGACCGAGGAGAAATCCCTAGATCTGCAACAGCAGTGGTCCATGTTGTCCTCAGCGATGTCAATGACTTCATACCCACTTTCTCTCCGCCACTTATGACTGTACACTTGCTTGAAAATATGGACCACCTACCTCAAGTTATTCTTCAGGTATGAATTCAATCCACTAAACTTATTGATTAGGTTGCATATTAATTTTCATTGAGAACAGTCGTACTCAAGACTATTTTGAAAGATTCCTTCGTGAACACCTGCATAGACTTTTTTTTCTCCCCCAAAACACATCGCACAGTTTCTAATATTAATCGAAGGGAATATGATACCGTAATTTTGTCTGTTATATATGTTAGAGATTCCATAAATGCATGTAAAAGGACATAATTTGTTGAGAAATTAATACCTTTGTGTATGTTCTGCAAAAATATTGCACTGCAGTTCATAAAGAATACTGATGATCCTAGTTCAAATTGCAAATGGACTAAGAAAAACATAAAGGAAACTTTTTTTAGCAAAGTAATTTTAAAGATTCATACTGTTTTCACTTTAATAAAAGCTGAAGTGCAGTATTTTTCTTGGGTCTCATTGGCCAGGTATCAGCTAGGGATGAAGATCTTGGTGTGAACAGTCAGCTGACGTATTCCATTGACAGAGGAAATGAGGATGGACACTTCTCTCTCTCTCCTAATGGTACACTTGGTGTGCTGCACAGCCTGGACAGAGAACTCAGGGCCAATTACAAATTGGATGTCATCGCTGTAGATTCAGGTACTCTTTTGATCGATGGTCAGTCAAATGATAACAATGGGATATTGATCTGTACATTTTTTCTGTGTACGTTGACAGTGTGGTTAACAGTTTGACCTTAATATCTTGCTGTCTAAAGCAGGAAAAGTAAAATCATGGTCATTATTATTAATCACTGTCCTTTTATATTTTTAAATTCAGAATCTCCTATTATTTCTGTTATAGTCATCTTGTGCTAATTAGCTAATTGTGTGTTTTTCATGTGCTGGCTCACAGCTACGTGCCCTGTGTGACGGCACACAGGGGAGAATGAAGAAATGTAGGCACAATCCTCTGACCTGCTTGCACTTGATCAGTTCATCACAGGCTGTGCAGATCTGTACTGCTGACTGGAGGAATGACCTGCCCCACATTTCCATGTTACTATGTCAATGAATGTAGAGAGAACGTCCTGGCCAACTAGTCGCAACCATACCCTCAGCCAATTACGCGCCAGAATATGGGAAATACCAGTCACAGTCTGCTAGTAACGTAACCCAGGCTCATAATCACACAGCTCAACCTGCACTTGGGAGAGCTACTTGTTCAGAGGAGCCCCTTTTATATCCATTTATAAAAGCTCTTTACTAGAAGATGTTTCTTAAAAAAAAGACTTTAATTTGCAACAGATTTAAATGAATCACATTGGCAAGAGGTTTCACATGCTATCAAAATAAGGCCTTAACTAAGAGACAACATTCTATACTATAATAATATACTCTATTTCTATACTTTTTTATCCTTGTCTACTGTGCATCTTTTTGCGTTATCAGTGTTCAATGTGAAAAGTAAGCATGGTCTGAATGTGCTGTAGACATTCTAGAGTTGTTGGACTTTACATTGTTTTATAGTTTGGATTTTGCACTTGCATTTCCCTTACTCTTACTGTTTAATCATGAAATTAATCATGGAAAAGCTATTTTACAAGTGTTTTTCTGTATAAATCTATTGATTTTTTTAAATGAAGCATCAGGATAGATCACTTTCATTTATGCTGAATTTCCACCTGATTTAAACACAAATGTAATTATTTATATATGTATTAGTAAATTAAAATTGTACATTAGCATGATCAAATGATGTAATAATATACATTTAATTACTGTGGTTATTTTTGTTTGTTTTTTCAGCTTATTATATTGTACAGTACTTTATTGCTCTTTGAGTTACTGAACAATATTTTTTATGGCTGCTTTTCAGCCTACAGGTAAAATAAGATTATAAAACTAAGGTTATCAGGTATTGCAATGCATCAATGTTTGTTTTTTTAATCACTACTTCAGAATTAAAAAAATGCTAAAAGTTATATCCACTGCTTATTTTTCCCAGAGTGAAAAAGGGTAACGAATGTATCACTTAGTATTTACCGGTCCATCACCATAGCTCATTGTACAGCGTATACCATTGGTTCCCAATCCTGGTCCTGGTGTTCCACAGACCTGTTGATTTTTGTTCCAGCTGTGCCTTCAGTTACACAATCAAACTCTTCATTGAGTTGTAGGTGAAACAAGACCCCAAACAAGTACAAATATTCTAATTAATCAACTTCTTAGATAAAGTAAGGCTGTAGTTATCTAATTAAGGTGGGATGGAATGAAAACCAGCAGGTGTGTGGGTTACAAGTTCCAGGATTGATGTTGCTCATTAACTTATAAAACATACAGTTTTATGTCAACTACTAGCAATAAGAAAAAAATGTGTTGTGTTCTTTTCAGGCTTCCTGTAATTTCATAACAGAAATATACATGTGGATTTTTTTCATATACTGCAAAGTTGAAGGAATAAAACAAATCGATACTGTTTCCAACACAGAGTACATTGGCTGTGTATTGAAATCCAACTATAACGTATCTCCTTGTACTGTCCTGTTTTTCTTTCATGTCTCAGGTTTTCCTCCTTTAACTGGCTCAGGAACCATACAGATTCTACTTGATGACGTGAACGACAATAAGCCATTGTTTATTAAAAATTTCATCTCAGTTTCTTTATATGAAGATGTTCCTGTAGGAACTACTTGTGCCATAATAGATGCCTTCGATCTTGATGAAGGTGTTAATGGAGAAATCAGGTACAGAACTAACAAGACGTTCTCTAATACTAATGAATGGATCTGATCTATAAAGTAAATGTTTTGGATTTTTTAAAGTTTATTTCTGATGCTAGGTTGGTGAACTGCCGCATCATCGTTTATTTCAGTAGGATAATATAATTTACAATTGTAGACTCAAATTGGAACAACCCTTCAAAATGCAAATGCACATTGTGATGAGTAATATTCATGATTTTAAAAACAAGACTGTTCTAAAACAGAAATGTATGGAAATAATATTACATACCCTTTTTCCCTGGAATGTGGAGAGTTTAGACAAAGCAAATCAAGAACAAACGCAAAGCACAATAATTTGCATAACTTTTCAGAAACATTTTTTATGATTTGACATTGGTAAAAACTTCTTATATCTATTTACCATGGTTCTTTGTGATGTCAAATTTTGTGTTTCTTTCAGATATTCTTTGGAAGGTGGGAGTTCGTTCTTTTCCATTGATCAGTCATCAGGGGTCATCTTTACTACTGCGGAGTTAGACAGGGAGACAGTGGCCAGTTACAGCCTGACTGTAATAGGGATGGACAAGAATGCAACACATCCGCTTTCTAGCTCAGTCACAGTTTCTGTGGACGTCAGGGATGTGAATGACCAAAGCCCACAGTTTCTGAATGGTCCGTATGTCGCTAATGTTCCTAATACTGTAACCACAGGTGAGTACATCTGAGCTATAAATTTATATGACAGGTACACATGCAATGTGTGTTTAGGTACATGTAGTTCTTAAATGTATCCAAGACCCACATCCAGGAGAAGTCCCAAATATCACATACATCCACATGTTAGTGCTGACTAAATTTATAGGCATTTTTTAACTTTTTAATAGCTTATTGATAGCACATCATAAATAGTCCCATATGTGTTAACATCAAGCTACATTCTGTTTTAAAACTACATCTCAGAAGGGTTTGATCATTGATCAGCAGCCTTTGCAAACGTGTTGTGATATTTGCCAGACATATGGTTAATCTTACATATATGCATTTCTGTCTTGTACTGTAGGTTCCATTATCTGTACCGTCAGAGCAGTTGATGGTGACATTGGCTTAAATGCAAAACTTAAGTTTTCATTATTTGGGCCTAATTCTGACCAGTTCTCAACTGATGCAGCCAGAGGAGTTATTTTTGTTTCTGGTAGCGTTAGTGGTCCAGAAGACATAACAATCAGCGTCCGCGTGGTAGACAGTGGAAACAACTCCAAAATGGATACAACAACTGTAACGATAAGATTTCAGGATGCAACAGAATTCCCACGTGTGACAGCAGCCAGCTTTGAACACTTGCTTCCAGAAGACCAGCCTTTGAACAGTCAGGTCACTGTGGTGACTGCAGAGAGTAACAGGAAACAGCTTTTGGGACCAATCTTGTACTACCTGGCTGCAGGAAACTTTGAGGAGGTGTTTGAAGTGCATGAGCAGAGTGGGGCAGTGACTCTGAAGAAGCCATTAGATTATGAGACAAACAAGGAGCTCCTGCTGTGGGTGGAAGCTAGAGATTCAGGCTCTCCACCTTTTTCATCCTATGTTAAGATTCACATAAATGTGAGTGATGTGAATGATAACTCCCCAGTGTTCACCCAAAGTGTTTACATGTGTGAAGTGACTGAGAATATGCCACCTAGCCAGGTATGTGAAGTGCTAGCCATTGATTTGGATTCAGGAATTGATGGAGATGTGCAATACAGCATTTTAAGCGGGGACATAGACAACACCTTCACCATTGACATTAACTCTGGGATCATAAAAACACGGAAAAGTACAGATCGAGAAAAAGTACCTCTTTACAATTTAACAATTCAAGCCAGAGACAAAGGGAATGAACTCCATACAGGCACTGCAATGGTGATTGTAGCTGTTCTTGATGCTAATGACAACGCACCTCGTTTTTCACAGATCTTTTTCACTGACATCCCTGAAAATGCTCCTGTTGGATTTATTGTCATACAGATCACTTCTACGGATGAGGACATTGGTGAACACGCCATGAGCACCTATACAATTGTTAACAACAGTGATAGGCTTCCATTTGCTATAGATGAAGCCAGTGGACATATAACTGTTATACAGTCTTTAGACAGAGAAACCAAAGATCGCTACATTGTCAAAGTCAATGCCAATGATTCTGCTTGGAATGTTAACACTGAGGTCACTATATATGTTACAGACATTAATGACAACAGTCCTGTGTTTTCTCAGTTGTCTTACTCTATTACTATCCCTGAGACAAGAGCTCGTGAGATATTTCTAATACAGGTTTATGCCAGGGATGCAGATCTGGGACAAAATGGACAAATCGTCTACTATATTGAGCCGCCTAGTGACATTTTCAGAATAAATGCAACAACTGGAGATATTCTATCAAAACAGCCCATTGCGCTCCATGATTTAGAAATGCAAAGCCACAGAATTACAGTCGTTGTTTCGGACTGTGGTGATGTCCCACATCGTAATAACACCATAGTCACTGTGAACTTTGTGCAGTATAATTACTTTTCACCAGTTTTTCTCCCTTTTCCCTCTGTCACATCAGTCCCTTTCAATTTAGATGTTGGAACAAAAGTGTTACAATTGTCTGCCGTTGATAAGGACTTCCATTCCAATGGTATAGTAGAATATTTTGTCTCAGGAGGAAATGCTTCTCTTTACTTCGAAGTAGATCGAAGCGGTGGAATGGTATTTTTAAACAGTTCATTAAAGCAAAACATGAACAAACTGTTAACACTACAAATTACTGCCAAAGACAAAGGTGTCCCACCTCTTTCGACTCTAGCCTCTGTCAGGTTTTTAATCACAGATGAGAACCGGTTTGCCCCACAGTTTTCAGCATCACAAGTCACATTTTTTGTTCCTGAAGACTTGCCTGTGGGATCTGTTATTGGGAGGGTCAAGGCACAAGATAAAGATCAGGGAGCAAATGGATTTCTGTATTATGCTTTGGAGATGGAAAGTGAGGGTTTAATATTTTCAATTGGGCACAGCACAGGATTAATAACTTTACTAAGTAGTTTGGATTTTGAAAAGCAGGATGTTCACAGACTTCAGGTCACTGCCAAAGACGATGGTTGGATATCTAAAACTAGCAAACTTGATGTTGTTATTGAAGTCCAGGATATAAATGACAACCCTCCTGTCTTTTCTGCCAAGCAGTACATTGTTTCAGTACCTGAGAATTCACCCATTGGCACTTCTGTCTTCCAGGTAGAAGCCACTGATATTGATTCTGGGGAAAATTCACAGATAAGTTACTCACTTATAAAAGGACACATTGATATGTTTGCTTTAGATCCCCACACTGGTGTTATAACTACTCAAGAGATGTTTGATTTTGAGCTGCAGCTGGTCTACAAAGTAATCATCAAAGCTTCTAATCCAGGCAATCAGGATCAAATGAGCCTGGCACAAGTTTGTATTCAAATCACAGGAGTTAACGAATACATTCCTAGATTCAGTAAAAGTCAATATGACTTTGCCATTTCAGAGAGGTCACCAGTTGGCACCAAGCTGGGACAAATTTCAGCCACGGACTATGATTTGGGTTTGGATGGAGATATTTATTACTTGTTGGTTGGCCAAAGCAAAAAAGTGGGTTTTGACATTGACAAAAACAGTGGGGAGATTTATGTTGTGGGAGATTTAAGACAATATGCCCAGAATCATGCCGTTTTAAGAATCCTTGCTAAGAACAAAGGCAGTATTAATGGATCCAATGTTGATGAAGCACTTGTTCTTGTCAATGTGTTGGATACTAATGATCCTCCCGAATTCTTCTCTGATGTGTACCATGCTCATGTAAGTGAAGGCACAGAAGTGGGGACATCAGTCATTAAGGTAGCTGCTGTTGACCAGGATTCCTTTTCAGAGTGGAATCATTTCTTCTATAGCATTGAAAGTGGAAATGAAAACAATTCCTTTTCCCTGCATCCTTTAAATGGTGTGATATCTGTTGCTGCACCTCTTGACAGAGAACAATGGCCCTTTTACAATCTGACAGTTGTTGCGATTGATGAGGCACCTCTTCCGGCCACAGGAAGGACAAAGGTGCTTATTACAGTGAGTGACATCAATGATAATGCCCCTGTCTTAAGCTCTGCAGTAGGCCATGTAAGAGAAAATCAGCTGTATGGCACCATCATTACAATTCTGAATGCTACAGATGCTGACCTTCCTCCAAATCAGGGCCCATTTACTTACCAACTTGGGAAATTTGAACTGGAAAACAGCTTCATGCTGTCACCAGATGGAGTGCTGTCCACAATAAAACCTGTAGACCGTGAGAGAAACAATGCATTCCCTTTGCCTGTGGTAATCCAAGATGCTGGAATCCCGCCTTTGTCAACCACAGCAACAGTTCATATTACAGTCTTGGATGAAAATGACAACCCGTCTAAGCCAAGAAATATTTACATTGAGGTCAAGTATTATAGTACCTCTTTCCCAGGAGGCCTGATAGGTAATGTCAGGCCAGAAGATCCTGATATATCGGATGTGTTTAACTGCAGCCTGAAGAATGGTCCAAAAAATGTATTTGGTTTCCCTGCTGGCAAATGTGATCTGTGGTCATCTCCATATCAGGGAGAGGCTAAATTTAATCTCATTGTAGAGGCACATGATAACCATCACCCATCTGTCAACAACAGTGTCTATGTAAATTTCAAAGGCTTCTCCAATGCCTCCATTAATAACTGCATCCTCCTCTATGTCACCTCTCCTTCGTTTGAGGTGTTCTTGTCTGTAAATTACCTGAAGCTCATTAAGGCTTTGGACAATCTCTTTAATTTACAGGCATCTAAAATCCACGTGTTTGGAATGAAGCCTCTACAAAACAAAACTCTCCTTCTGGCAGCCGTTAAAAGCTACAATGGACAGTACATAAGTGGTGAGGTAGTCAATGCTATATTGTCAGCACAAAAGACATTTCTGGAAGACCAAAGTGACATTAAAATTTTGGCCATCACTAGTGATCCATGTTTCATGAACCCCTGTCAAAATGAAGCTGCTTGCAACAAAAATGTTTATGTAAGCCCAGGCATTGAAGTTCTGGAAAGTCCTACAACAATATTTGTCACCCCCAAAAATGTGGAGGTATTTAACTGCTCTTGTCTGCCAGGCTTTACAGGTGCACTATGTGAACTGGACATCAATGAATGCAGTGAAAGACAATGTGAACATGGGGGAACATGTTTAAATTATCCTGGAGGATTTTCCTGTCACTGTATGGCAGGGTATTCAGGACCGCTGTGCTCAGTTGATATTGATGAATGCAAAAGCATTTTCTGTCAGAATGGCGGGACCTGTTTTAACTTTCAAGGGGATTTTCACTGCGAATGCAGTCTCGGATATGCAGGTAAATAGATTTCATTTTATTCTAAATCGTCTTCGTCACAATATATTTGTTTGATGTACAGTTGTATTTGATATAGTATGATGGACAGTTATATTTTGAGAAAATTCCCAATCAACAATTACTATGCAGCTTTTATTTATTAGTTATGAAACACAAATGGAGAAAAAAGCCAACAATGTTTGTTCTGAAAGTGTGGGGAATTCCATTTTTAGATCAATTAGAAACATGATACCTCATAGATTCTCACCTAATTTCTTCAAAATTGAGTATCAGGAAAAAAAGGTTTTCTATATGCAGTCATCTTTTTCAAGAAAAATAAAGCAGGTGTAATTCTGACATTGCTTAAATGTTTTTTTTTGCATCATTTGATGAATTAAGTGTTCATGACTGATTATGTATAACTTGCATAGCTACAAAATCGGCACGTTATTAAGAAAGTTAAAGAGGTCCAGGGTAATTTAGCCTGTTGAATGTCAAGCATGATGCCTCCTCATGTTCTTTAACTGCAGTTCCACTGCATTGCGAGAGACCATGATCATTTCAACAGTCACCATTTGCAAGCTAAGTTACCATATGGGCTCAGTGCTCATTAAAGCAACAGGTTTATGCAAAAGAGATAGTGTGAGCCTCACCTTAGGTGTACTCATCTAAGTTCTCTATAGTAGTGAAGTTTTGTGCAGACCACCCTGATGTACATCAAGGAGTATGGCACAGATATACAAAATAGCATACAAAATAATTGTGTACAAAAGACCAATCGATGGGCAGGTCCAAGTGTAATAAATGGGCAGGGGTAGCTTGTTGATACAGAACTTTACTTGTAGTATTTGATTGCAGCCCAGCTGTATTGGTGGCTCCTGGGACCTTACATTGTTCCTGTAGGCTCATCCTGATGTTACAAATTTTCAACAGAACAACATAATTTCAATGCTTCTTATCTCATAACCATTTTCCTTGTGAAAGGGGGATGTGAGTGTCTAGCTACTTGCCAAGCATGAGCCCCAATGATCATTTTAAGGGATAGACTGGGACAACTTGTAACATACAGGTCTCGGAGACCTGTTAGGAGGCACATTCCAGACTTTTCAAGAAGATTGGGACAGAATCCCACAAGAAACATTTGCACTCTGGTGCAGTTTCAGTACTGCTTCCAATAGTAGTCACAACACAACATACTAATAAACACTGCTGATGACAAATATTAGTCAGCATAATGAACTTCTGCATGGCATTTATGTTCAATGAAATGTATTTTCACCTTTTACAAAAAAGTTTTGTAATTTTCCTATTAGAAAATGTGTGAATTATATAAATGATAAGTTAAGTAACGTTGTAAGGAATAATACTTTAATGTGATTTATTACTTTATATGACCATAAATAAAAACAAAAGCTGAGAGGCCTAGATGTTGCCCATTAAACATGACATGTTCCAGACTGTCTTTACAGTTAGCTTAAGGAAAATACATTGATTACATTGGAGAACCATTGTTAAAGTGGAAGTGGGTCCGCAGTTTGTTAATACTTAAGTCTTATTTGAAGTCTGTCACATTGTTATTGCTTCAGGAAAATTTTGTGAGCAGTCTGTGAACCACTGTGCATCATTCCCTTGTCTGCAAGGAACCTGTTCAAATTCTCATACTGGATATATTTGTCATTGTCCATTTGGTAAGAATGAACACCTTTTTTACAAACTGAAAATTTGTAAGCCTGCTGCCCCAATCTGCTTTCTTTTGTCTATCACATGGTATGATTACTTTAAAACAGAAATAGCTCCTTAAAATTCTTAAAATAAAATTACAATGAGAGATTATTGCCAGTGTGGAATTATTGCTAGGACAGTGTGGAATACAAATAAGCCTTACACTGTTCTTTGTAGCATGATAGCTTTGTATGCTAATGCAAACTCATCTTCAATATAAAACCCATTAATACCTCTGTTCATTTTTTAGGTGTGAGTGGTATTAACTGTGAAGAACACAGCTATGGCTTGGAAGAGTTATCCTACATGGAGTTTCCTCCTTTAGACCCACGGAATAATGTTTTTTCTCTGGAGCTTGCCACTGTACAAGAAAACTCCCTGCTCGTTTATAATTACGCCAGTATGACAGGTTCAGCCAGTGAGTTCCTTGCACTGGAGATAGTGGATGGTAAACTTCAGCTCTCTTATAACCTGGGAAATGGCACAGTGAGGCTGAAGACGGAGAAGATTGTAGCAGATGGGCACTTTCATAAAGTTCTTGCCAGCAGAATGGGGAAAGTGAGTCATGTGCTGCAGGAGGGAAAGCTTTCTCCTACTCACAGAACATGATTGCAGCAACTGCAGATTGTAATTGACAATGATTGAGTTGATTGTGCATCCAAGACTCAAACTGAAACAGACTGTTTATGCATTTGGCAGGTTGCTTCTTTAGAAGTGGACAGCTGTTCTGATGATGAGAGCGATAGATTTTGTTACGCACGGAGTGGAGGAATTGGCACTGAAAGGTACCGGTGCAGTTTTAATGAGATCTGTTTTAAAGCAAGACAGCACTGACCTTGTATTTTAATGCACAGAAAAAAAACAAAACAAAATGGAATTGAGCTGTATTTTTCTGGTGTAGAACAGGCCTTGGTCAGTTAAATGGAATCCCATCATTCTGTACAGTAGGTATTGCATTAGATTATGTTTGAAATGTTACCATTGAAACAGCTCTGGGTGGATATATTAGAGAAAAACTATAGCTGAAGTTTGATAAAAAAAACAACCGGTAACAAAAAACTTCATTGCCGTTTACATTGATTTTAAAGTAATAGTAAAGCTTTTTTTTATTTACTATGTGCCTTCCTGATGATAAAAATCCCAGTTGTAAGAGCTGCAGACGACAGGTGACCTAAAAAAACAACTAACCCTATATATTTGCAACAGGTTTTTTACATGACCCACAAACCAGAAATGGACATTAGTATGGCTGAAGTGCCCTTTTTATTTTTATTAATTACAACATTTCTCTCTACACAAAACACAGACTTCGTGACATGCAAAGTATGCATTTCACATTTAGGAAAAAGAAATGGCACTTGAATGTCTTTTTTTTATACAACAACAGTATTTGTGATAGAACCGAAAGAAACCATTTGTCCATAATAGTCCTTGTCTAGAAGCAGAAGCAAGAACAACCAAATCAATGTCCAGTTTGGACCAAATGTCTAAGTGTCACAATGTCCAATTGCATCGGTCTCTGCAATGGCCGGACTGTATTGAAAATCCTCCCACAGGCTGCACTCTGTTTACCCTCTTTCTGTGGCCTCACAGTGTCACACAGAATCACACAGTATCAGCTCTCCAGGCCTGTTCCCTTATCCCCCCCGGCCAGGAAAAACCAGTTTTCCTTGCTATGTCCATTTTGTGTCGAGGGGCTCACGGAAGGAAGACAGAGCACCCATCTGTTCAGGCTCAGGTCTTTTTTTATCAGTTTTGTTATCCAATCCCCACTCAGAGGGCGTTTGTCACTGTCTCAGTGAGGAGCAGGTGTGTCCAGTTGATTATCAGGAGGAAGCCTGGGTTGTTTGAGAACTGTGGGTATGCAGATCTCCAGGTGTCAGGGGGCCCTATTACGTCTTTTTTTTCCTTTCTGGCCTCCCTCTTCTGCCCAAGGTCTGGTCCAAACTGGCTCAGCCACACGTCCATGTGCCAATACCTAAGGTGTGGTAATTGTGTTATGTCTGGGCAAGCGGTGTGTTCTACAGTCCTTGCTAATTGTTTTCCGTTCCACTGTCTGCATTTGAAGACTTTGAAGCTGAAGATTTTGGAGGAGAAAATAAACACAGGAGAAGAACAGGCACAAACATGTTGACACAATTCTGGCCACTAAATGCAAACTTAATTAATTGCAGCCTGTTCCTTCTTCAGCTGCTGGCAGTCTGTGACATAAGCCACATTTGTGTGCTTCATTTAGTCATTTTCCCCACAGAAAATGGACAGGTTTGCAACTGATTTGATTGTTTAAAATTCAGCACACACAAAAGGCTCAACATTGTATCCAAAAACAATTTTCAAGATTAAACTTTCAAGCTTTGTATCTAAGAGACCAAAAGTATACTTAGATTTGGATCACTGACTATCAGAGTAAAGGGATTTGGTAATTCTGTCTACACCTGGAACCTGTAAATAACAAGCATTTAATGAGTATCTGGTTTGGTTCACAATGTGCTATTGACTGCAGGAATGGTAAGTATATTACAATATTGACTCACGGCTTTGCATTTTCTTTTTCCCCATACAGGACATTGGACGTGGGTTCCAATAACATGATGTTTGGTGGAATTAAGTCTATTGATCCCATTTTGCACCGTCAGTCTCAAGTCAGGACTGATGATTTTATCGGATGTGTGAAAAATGTCAGGCTAAATGGCATCCCATTAGACCTGTCTCGAGCCCTGGCATCCTACAATGTACTTGAAAGGTATATCTATATATTTAAAATATAGTGGTAGAATAACAGACACTGAATCAATTTTTAACTCTGGCTGTTTATTACAGAGTAATGTAATGCATAAATACAAAACAAACAATGAAATGATAATTCATGAAATGTTCATAAGCAAGATGCTGCTTCCTTATAACATCACTTTATTAACTCTTTACAATTTCTTGCATGAGGAATTATCATTTCGCATACCCCAGCTTGCTCTCCATGAGACACACAGACAGGGAGAGAGCCTGGGGTCAGAGCACAGGGTCTGCCATTGTACAGCTCCCCTGGAGCAGTTGGGGTTAAGGGCCTTGCTCAGGAGCCCAACAGAGTAGGGTTGCTCTGCCGGCTGCAGGATTTGAACGGGCAGCCTTCCAGCCACAGACGCAGATCCTTAGCCACAGGGCCACCGCTCTGCCTATATACAGTAGTAATCTTGGAGTTTATGGTCATTTACAATTTTGGACACTAAAAAAATGCAAAATCAAAACTGAGGCGTTCCAGTCAGTGAGAAGCTGTCAAATGGGTATTGATTACTTCCGCTGCAAAGAAATGCACATTCCAGTTCTTTACATTGTGGTTTTATCTTTTTGCAAGGAACCATACTTACTTTCATATTTCAGCGTTTTTAACTTGCTGCTTTAGAAATGTTAGGCTCATTTTAAATGGTAAACAATGATTTGTTGTTTATATTTGGAACATTCGGCAACAAAAATACCAACCAAATCAAAGACATTCATTCACATGACTAGGTACTGTACATCTAATGCACCACAAAAAACTGGATAAGTTTAATTTTAGACCAACATGGCCAACAAAATAATCTCTGCTTGAAAAAAAAAAACTGCTGTCAAACTTTATTAAAATGCTCCATATAAGAGGCATATAAAAATGGAAAAATACAAAATGGAATTTAAAAATACTAGAAAACAGAACTCCACAGGAGCAATGTTTGGATGAATGCTATGATTTTGTTTATTTCATTTTCATTTGGTTTATCTTGTTAGCTGAGTTTCCCTATGTCTCTTTGAAATGTTTCTCATACGTTATGGAGGCGCAACTCTTAAGTTGCATTTGGAAATTACATTTGGATTTGTGTTTGCTCTATTTCAGGCTTCCTTCTAGCACAGGCCTTTCCTTTGTCGGCTTTATCCTTTTCCTTTGCCAACACTATAGTCCTCTTTTTCACAGATGTCCACGCCAAGGTGCCCCCTGTGGTAGCAATGTGTGTCTCAACGGGGGAGTGTGTATTGACCACTGGTCCTTCTATCTCTGCCACTGCTCAGATGGCTTTACTGGAGAAAACTGTGGCACAAGTATGGCTGTTGTCTCTTTGATGTTTCAGTCTACCTGCTGGTCTGTAACAAATTTACAACTCAATTAGGGCCCTGTGGTTCCATTTCTTTCTTTCTTAACAGCTGTAGAAAGATGTTGGCTGAAACATTCTGAAAGAAATACGTTTTGAATCATTTTAATCATGTGTGTGACACAAAAACCTCCTTTCTTTTGAAGTCATTTTAGAAGTGTTGTGTCATGTATGTCATTGTAGTCACCACAAAATTGCTATGTTATTACAGATCGGGATGGCCAAACCTAATCATGAAACAACCACAATCACGTTTAATTACTGATTTCTGAAAACTTGTAAGAAATTTAAGTTTTTGATCAATTTGAAAGGGCTAGAAAAGGTCTTTTATTTGTAGAGATCACAAAATTACCATGTTGAACAAATTACAAGTGGTCAGCTGTTTCATGTCTTCACTCTTTGAGTTAAAAGTAAAGTAACAAAACTGGCTGGACTGTTGCTCTCCAAACAACATTGGCGGACCCTGCTGTAGACTAAACGAGTTTCTTCTTAAAAATGCTAAACCAAAGGATTTGCTGTGACAAATGAGTGTCTCATGTTAATATTTCATCATACTGCTGTTAAGATGCAGGCAAAAAATCCTATTGAGCATCCTGTTTTCCCAAACCTTACCTCAGCATTCTTGTAGCCGGTCTAGTAATTGTAATACTGACTCCTTTTATTGATCAGGAATCTCAGAGGACTCTGCCTTACAGCTTAATGGCGAAGTGTATGTTGATTATATCATAAAAGAAAGCCACAGAAGAAGGCAACAAATGAGAGAGCTGGTGAATGGCAGGAGAGAGTGGCTTGAGGAAGCAGACAATCTGGCAGCAATAGAAGTCAAACTGAAGACCCCAGCAAGAGAGGGGATGTTACTCCACTGTCAGGGCAGGGAAGGCCACACAACCCTGAAGGTGATTGTCTTTGAATGAGATAGGTGGAATTATTTGACCTAGTAACCATGCTTTTAGAGATTACCTTTACATCATATACCAACCTTTAATCATTGGATCTGAATTTAAAAGGCAAAGTTAAAATCCTCTTGATATCAAGATTGTCTATCTGTACTTACAGACTCTGAATTAAAGAATTTGTACTAATTTCTCACAATGTTAATGAGAGTATGAAACTGCATCTAGAATAAATGCTACTTTGTTAAAACATTGATAGTTGCAGGTGCTGTTTGGGGAAAATAGATTAGCTCGGTTTTTATGGTCAAGGTTTTATTTAAGGAGAGCTAGAATGATTTCTGCACTTCAGAATCCTTGGATTTCAGTATTAGGTATTTCCACTCTGAACATGGAGCACAGATAATGAAGACTAATGAAGCACTCTGGAAGTGCCTCACTTCCAGAGACATCAGCAAATACAACAAGAGTCGAGCCAGGTCACTTTCAGAAACACGATACTGATAATTACAACAGCATTGTAGTTAAAATTTAAAAAGGTCTAGGAAAAAGGTGGCAGTTCTAAACTAAGGTTTCTTAAAATTGTGGATGGTTCTTTCTTTTAACTTGCAGATGACAGATGGAAGACTTCATTTAGTTTCAGAGGACAGCTTGTCTGGTTATATGGAGCACATCTTTTCTGAAGCCTTCCTCTCGGATGGCTTCTGGCACATTCTTCATCTGCAGAGGAATGGACCTTTTACTAGCCTGGTCATAGATAACCATCATCTCATCAACACAACCAATCATACCCACGACTTCACTGGTATTAATGTGGAAAGAATTTTTCTAGGGAAGGTACCAAAAGGATACATGAGAAACCAACCTGAAGCAGGTGAGAAGATTCCCAATGGTTACAAAAATTGGAAAGGGAGAATTTAGGAACCTTTTTTTATCAATTATTTTTTTGTAGCAGCAGCTGAGATATGACACAGATTGTCATTGTAGTTGCTCAGAATTCACTGCAGAAAATAAGAAGGCCATGCCTCTTGAGCTTAGCAGCAGTGTTATCTTGTCTACAAGAGCCTGCTACTGTACTGGCTTCAATGAGCATAGCCTGCCTCTCAGCATATCCATTGTAGCGCAAATAGGTCTTCTTTTGAGAGTATTATACCCATGTTATGTTGTGAAAAAACCCTGTTACAACTTCCATTGTCCAACCAAATTTTCTACCAAATTCCAATTATTAATCAATTTTGCTTTACATTTATTACAAATCGTTGTTGAATATTATGTACATTGATGCATGTCATCAGAAACATGTAGAGTAGCTTTGCCGCCATCACAAAATTATTTAACCTAATGTAAGATATTTCTGTTGTATTTCTTTAGCCTTATAATATGGTAAGTTATTGCTTTGGAAGGCATTGTTATCATTCTTATTTTAATCTCTTGCACTGAGCAAATTGGTAAGAAGGCTAGTAGACCTTTTAAGCTAAAATCCAGCCCAGTAATTGTGACAGCAACATACAGTATGTTACTACCCCATACTCCAAAACTAAGTTTCTGTCATCAGAAAGACCTATATCCTGCAGCAGATATTAAACCTATGCTCTTTGAACACAAATAAATTGATCAACATCCTCAGAGTTTTGCTTTCTAAAGTAAATTAGAGATTAATTTAAATATACATTCAGGATATAATTCTAGCACAAAATGATTAGATCCACCTGTTAATTTCACCCTTTTGTTATTACTTAACATCCTCCTTTAAAAGAAAACCAAAACCCAGGCCACTTAAATACACTCTTAAGTAATCTGCAGTTGTAGTATATCTCAAGTTTGCTACTAAAATATTTAAGTGGAGGCCCAGGAGTACACCTGTTTTTGTTTTGGAAATTAGATTAGATCCTGATACACCTATCTTGAAGGTTAAGAAGAGTCAAGAGGTATCTGTCTGTCTTATCCTGTTATCTGACCCCTCAGAAACTGCACACAATTCCCTATGGCAATTGTATTGGAAGGGAGTGTGTGCTGTATGGCCCACGGCACCTCCATATCAGATAAGAACCATGTTTACCAGAATCATGATAGACATTATGACATTATGAGTAAATAGATTTCACTCAGGCCTTTATTAGAGATTACTGTAGGATATCACTAAAAATTCCAATATCGAAACGCTAAGTAAAATCACTGTAAGGTGCATAGGGATGGTGACCATGACAAAAAAAGAAACCATGGTAAAATAATTGCACGGTAAAAGAATGATCAAACTTTTGGAGATTTAGAAAGATAAACATACAATACACCATGGGGAACTTTTGAAAAATAGTTTTTTATTTCTCTCTGGTTTCACTCATTTCTAAATGATACCACTCAAAGTGAAAAAAAATATTTGCGTTAATAACGCAGTAACATAACACAATGTAATAAAGTTACATTGCTTTAAGATGATGTGCAGGAACAACAAAACACTCCCAGCATCATAACTGTGTGTACTGTATATGTCACATTATCATGGAAATTAAATACTTTTTAATATGAGGGAGAGTTTATTATTTGCTCTCCAAAGAGAATCTTCTCACGAATCGCAATTAAACACACAAGACAGCTAATTCTGCAATTCAAATGCAAGAACTCCAGGCTTCCTAAAGGAATTAATGAGCTGGCATTGTAAGGTAGTATAGAATAAATTTGTACACCTTCTGCTGGATCCAGCTGTTCATTATTGAGCCTGCAGATTCATTTCAGAAGTTAAAAGCTCATATATCTCTGATCACAGGACTATTTTATATCCATCTTATCTTATTATATTTTGTTATTTAATTTCTTTTTTGTCCTGGTGTGTGCTTGGTGTATGATTAATTGTTACCTCTGTTTAAAATTCTTAAAAACCTATTTGTCATGAGGACTATCACTTTCATTAAAACCAGTTTCTGTAGGCAAAGGATATTCGATGAAATCCTGAGAGGAAGTAAATACTGTACCATGATACATTGCAAGGCTAATTTGCCAACTGGCTGAGCATCGTACATCTAATACACTTTGTCTAATATTTCTGTGCCGTTTTCCTCCTAGAGATATCTGTTCCCTTCTCAACTCAGTTTTGTTGGGGTATTTAGTTTGCATTATAGAGAATACATCAAAAATACCAAACCCACGTAGTGTTTTTTCATATTTTTGGTGTACATGCAAGAAATGTTTTTAATGGTGTCAGCAACAGCAAAATGAAAAGGCAATTTAATCTCTGTAAAAACAGATTTCTCTTCAGTTTACCGATACAAAACATGTTGGGGTGTGCTATCTGTGGTTCAGAGTTAAGGGGAACTGGATTACCTATATAGCAAATGTAATGGATAGCAGGCTACATTTACTGGAATACGTGGATTATATGAAGCACCACCTCTCCATATTAACTCATGGATATGCACTTTTCTGTTGTCACAGGTTTCATGGGATGTATTGAATATTTGAGATATAATGGACAGATTTTACCTTTCTCTGGATTTAATGAGGTAGTGGAAGTACAACCAAGACCCCCTCTTGTCCGCACGGGATGTGTGTCGTTTAGTGGCTGTGCCAGCTCCCTGTGCTCTGAAGAGATAGCCCTAGCTTCGTGTTTGTCCTACCACTGCATAAATGGAGGGACCTGCAACACTTTGGCAGAAGGAAATGTTTCATGCGTCTGTCTGTTGAATTTCACAGGGGCCCTCTGTGAATTGTGCTCGTCTGAAATTGATAACCGTGCGGTTTGTTACAAAACCAAGGAATCCGTGCCTCTGTGGATTATCGCCATCATTATTCCTGCCACAGTGGCACTGATCATTTTTGTTCTATTTCTGCTGTTTCGGTTACAAGCTGTGTCCCTAGCAAAGCAGGAACCAAAAACGTCAGAAAAGGGAAAACAGGGCACTGATAACAAAGCCTTCCATGATGACAATGCTGATACACCAATACAGGATATCGATGGTGAAGATAAAGAGCCAGACATTATCAAAGCAGAAAAACAAATCAGTTCAACAGAGAAACACATTGTTCAGCGGAACATTAATGAAATACACCCTGGCCTATACTGTGGCAGTGAAACAGAGTACTGTGAAATAGAAAGCACTAGCAGTATCATGATGTCCGACACCAATGCTATTCATCCCAGGAGATACAATAGCAATTCTAAACATAAGGTGTTAGGACAAAATGTAAAGCTGAGCTTACAAGAACAACGACAGAACTCTGCCGTGTGGCACAACACAGAAGACTCTGCCCAGAGAGATGAGGAGCAAAGTTTTTTCAAAATGCCACAGGTATTTGTCCTTGAGAATGGAAGAAAGTTTGACCAAAGAATCTCTGAAGTTGGCAATTTGAGACAAGTTGGAACAGGTCCTGTTGGGCAAGTGGATTATCAGTATGAGAAAGATAGGGAGGCAAGAAGAAAGTACTTGCCAGAGACCACTGGGGCTCCTCTGGGCTTGACAGTAGAGGAGGTGAAGAAACTGAATGAACCCCATGGCCAGACGCAGGACCCACTTCCAGGGCCAATGAAAAGACCGTGTCACAGCATGCACTTGTCTCCCAAGTGGGCATCCACCCATCCATCCAGAGCCGACAGCTCCTCTGACAGCGACACCCACAGCTCCTTTACCTGCTCAGAGTATGAATTGGAGAGGGAGCTTTCGCTCACAAACGGGCAGTGGTGTCTCTGCAAACAGGCCGCCCACAGTGCCCTGGCTGACTGTGCCCAGAAACGAGATAGGAGCAGAAAGACCTCCTCTCCTCTCAGGGAAGGCTGTGATGCTGAGAGGAGTGTTGACTCTTCTTCCCCTGGAGCTGCTCGCCAATGGGAAAGCTTGCTCAGTCTGGGCCTGCGTTTCGAGAGCTATGCTGAGGTTTTTGAAGACATTGCAGGTTTGCCCATTACACAGGAAAACGTTCATCCACTCTGTTTTGATAGAATGAGTGAGCTGGAAGAAATATTTTGATTTTGATTTTCAGGCTACAAAAAGTGTTTGCTATTGGTGCAGTTAAAGTGGCAGCTGCCTGGGACTACTACAGGATTATAATGTGTGATGAGAAGCTGGTATTCTCCATTACATACAGTAGCTACAGCTGCGGCAGGAGGTGACGAAGGTTACCTGCAGTTGCTTCAGTTTTCAGCAGGTGCCACTGTTGCTCAGGGGTGATTATCTGTCTCAAAAGATAAATGTTTTTGTGTACATTGCTATAAACTTTTGCTGTATGCATGTTTATGAGCATTATGTCTTCTATTTTAAAAAAACACACAACATAAATAAATTTGTAGTCTATGTATGCTGCATATCTGGGGTTGCTATTTTTGTGAACCAAACTATTTTAGATTGTTTAAATTATCCCCATATAAAAGTAACTTTAAGCACATAATCGAATGAAATCACATTTAAATCCTCTAAATGCTGATATATAAATCATTTTCATAAAGGAAAAAGTCATTCATAATGCTGAAACAGCTATATTATTTTATAGAAGACATGAATCCTCTGATCTGTACTCCCCCACTTCTTATTATAACATTTTTTTATTTTTGCAAAGCATGTTCTATCTTTTTTGTGACTTTTACAAAAAGCCAGTGAAAGACATGTGATAAAGGGCCATGGAGGTAAAAAGAATTACATAGCTAAAAGCTAGTAGTTACTAACAGAATCCTTATACAGAATTACGTAGTGATTTCACTATCCCTAATCGCAGGTCATATCTGTAGCATTCCCAGCATGCCCTCCTGGAGTAGTCACCTCAGAGATATCCTCAACATTATCCCATTCAGTACCTTATATTACACTCTTCATTGGTTTTGGTGCTGAGTGTAGCCTTACTAGAAAGCCCACCTGTGCAACAGAAAGGGACTTACAGTGCTGCTTGTAATAAAAAAAAATGCTGATTTGTTCAATTGAAGAGCAACTACCTTGTTGACGTGTGCACCTGTAAGTCACACCACTCACCTTGTGACTCAGGTAAGGCTGCCAGAAATGTTGCTTTTCGATAACGCTGCACTATATTTATTCTGCAGCAGCACTCGTGAGGTTTGAACAATTATGTGTTGCTGCAGAGGTTCAGATAAAGCACACAGAAAGGACAAAGTCAGCACGAAACATGATAAAAAATGGAATGGAAAGGGCATACTGGGTCGGAGTAGGATTGAATCTATTATTTTCGGGAAGCTAGTAAGATTACTCTATTGTTTTACATAGAACCAGACATCTCCAGATAACTGACTAAGAATAAAAGGGCTGGAAATGTTTAATTTTTCTTTACCTTTTGTTTGTTTAAAAGTTATTCTATAAAACAATGATGAAGAACAACGTGCTACAATTCAACAGTATAGCACAGAACTTGTATTTAGTGTTGAACTAAACTTCTGATGTATTTTCATTATAGCTTTAAAAAGGTTTCACTTTTCTTCCATAACTTCTTTTTATGGAGGACCTAAAGAATAATATTGGATGTTTTAAACCCTGGAAGAACTTTTACATAAGACTGTTTTTTCTTTCTTTTATTTACATTATACTGTATATGCAGTCATATGACTGTAACCTATTATGACTACTTTTTTCAAGAAGGAGAAGGAAACCTTAACAACAGGATAGAATAAGGAATACCAACATTTCAATACATTTATTTGGCCTGAAATACTTCCAAAATATGAACACTCAAAACTGAAAGGGGACACCTGCAAGATGTAGATTCTAGGTAAACCCTAAAGATAAATTATCAAGATACTAACAAGTTATAACCCAGAGCCTGAGCAGAAGAAGATAGATCAAGCAGTCTATCTCGCAGGTCACCTGTACCTCACTTCAGAATGGTGCATTGCTGGAGGAAAAGCAAGAAATGCATAACCTGCTTTTGTATGAGGTTGCAGTTTATGCTTTTGTTACTAGGTTACATTTGCTGTGTGCTGCAGCCTGGGTATGCATTGCCAAGACCAGTGATGTTTTTTCTCTTGCTTCGTTTCAGTGTTTATTTCCGCACATTGTTTGAGTTTGCCCTGACCTGAACTTTTTAGAAATACAAGGTGTGATTGAGACCACATTTGTGTGTGGGGACTTCAATACCCTATTGTTCTTACTAGCGTTCCGATCTTCAGGTCCCTAAGCAAACAGAACATATCAGATGCTTCTTTTCAATTGTTTAAGTTTCAGTCTTTTTGAAAGATAGGCCAAGGAGGCCAAAAGGCACATTCAAAACACTTACTGGGTGAGCTGTGCTCAATCTGAATTTGCAGAGCCCACAATCACTAAGATATCACAAAATATTACTATGAAATATATATAACCTTAGTAAAAAAAAAAACATTTCATCTCTAAGTATGAAGTATGAAGAGTGTTCTGGTCTGGTCTTCACTTTGCTGCTGTGCATTGTCACTCACACTCTCCTTATCCCAGGGACTTGATGCGTCAACAAATGGATCATTCTGTACCAGCCGTGTTGTTTAGCTGTACAAACAGCCACCACAAGGGAAGAGAGCATCGGTGTGATGTCCTTGGTGCTACTTGTTCTGGCTGTGGTGTGTTGACATACGGTGCTGTGCTAAAACGTGTCCTGAAAGTTTGGTGGCAGGATTAGTTACGGCGTACATCTGTTGCTGGCTGTTGAGTCTGATTCGTTGGGATGGAACAGGTCCCACGGGAGACTATTTTTGTCAGGTCCCTGGATCACTTCAGGCTGCCAAATCAACTGCTTTACAAGGCCGTGCTCTTCTCCCCTTGGGCTTCTGTCAGGCTGGCAGCCCATGCCATATGTCTCCTGATTGCGGAATGCTGGGCAGACCCAGGGGCTTCCTACATGGAAGAATTCCCATTTCAGCATGAGGTCTGGAGCAGGTTGTCATAGCTTTAGTTTCAGCCTGAGCATTCAGTCCTTTCAGAGGTGTAACTAAATCCAGAAAAGGCACAAGAAACATGCTCATACGTTCCTGGAACTGATGTGCATTTGTCAGCCTTGTGCTCCAAGGAGCTTGCAGGCTTAAGTACTCTCCCCAAAAATATGATAATGTTATATTTATGGCAGACTTCTTTAAAGTACAGGCCAAGATGTTTGTTTATGCATAATGTTTGAGCCAGCACACAAAATGCTCAATTCATGCTTTATTCAGTGTTAACCCCAGTCAAAAGGAGGAAACAGTACTGTGGCAGTACTGCAAAGGACAGAAGAACCAGAGTCTGATGGCTTCTGTCTCCTTTAAGACATTTTCTTAAATGGGCAGCTGCCAGCATGTTAAACGATGATGGCTGTTTATCAGGGAAGTATGACGAGTTTAGTTACATGAAATGTAGGTGTGTGAGGAAATTAAACTGGACCACCCAAGTTAAAGGAGCAAGAAACCTGGCTGGATATAAAGAGAAAAACAAACATGAAACAAATAATTGTTTGAAACAGTTTTGGAACACAGGGCTTAGAATAACTAACCTAGCTAAACGTTAAAAAGTGAGTTGTCCTTATTTTCCTGTTTAATTTTTGAGTTGTGATTACTTTGTGTTCCACATGACCCATTCTTCTTGTTTTTTCTGTAAAGAAATGTTGGATTGCTAACTAAATCTGCCAGCAATTATAATTTTAGCAGAGGCTTCTAACAAGTTATTATCTAGAAGTCTACAAAGGGAAACAACAGGACACTGTATGTTTCTTTCTTGACTTCTGAGTTACATATTTGAGGAAAATAACGAGCTAAGGTGGAATGCACAACAGGAAATCAGGCAAATAAGACATTTCAGTAAAAACATGTAACTAACCAGAGCTGCTCCTGTTATCTAGAATGACAATTATGCTGAAAATAATAGTCAAACACTGAATATACTGTAGCAAACAATACTACACAGGACACACAGTAAATACCAAGGTGATGAAAGAATATGATAGGAAAGAATAGGATCAACCACCCACTTTGAGAAGTGGGAAGGAACTTTACTAAATAGGTCTACACCTCCCCCCCCACCCCAAAATAACAAACAAGTCTGTAGCAAAGTCCAGAAACAAAAACAGGAAGAGACTACGAAACACGAAAGGACCCACAAATATGAAGACAGGTTATAGAGAAAATGACTAATGTTTTTTAACTGTGCTTGTCACACTTCAGGTACAAACCAAACAGCATTCTCTGTAACACACAGCACGGGCGGCTTCATCTCCAGGAAAAGTACTGGTTTAAAATAGAAACACACAACCACGCTTGTTTTGTGAAAACATGCCACTGAGAGACTCTCTATATTGGTGATTTCCTCCCACACCTCCTGTCTGAAATGATCCTGTTCCACCCATGATGTTGTGAAGAGTGATACAGAGAGTACTTTGTTGACTTCCAGTTGCATGTGAACCTTATTTAAAAGTGATCTTTAAAGTAAGACTTTGGGTTTTCATGGGTTTATTTTAAAAAGAAGCATAAATGTAAGCAATGAATTAAAGGCAGACACTGAATTTGGCCTTAAAGCAGATGCCCATTTAGCCTTGTTAAAAGACGCAAGGATGAAAATGATTTACTACGTAAAGTGGCACAATCATTTTTCAGTGTTCATGCTGTTTCATGTCTCATTTTACTGCAGCTTACTGGGCCTTTATGATAATATAACACTATAGACTTTTACGAGAAATCTGATTAAAATGTTATTACATTAAACTCAAGTTAAGAGGCACATCAGCCTTCATTCACTAAACATTTACCACTACTTTAAGTTGGCAGCTGTTTATCAGCTGGTACTTTTCACTTGAGCAACATTTTAAGTTTGAAAAACATTTTATCAGTATGGTCTGTAATGAAAAGAAAGACTTCATTTGTTTTGGGACAAGTTTAATCTGTATCTATATCTGCTTACATAGATCGGTGACTTTTTATAAGACACATTTCTGATTGGATGGAGATAATTAAAGCTAATACACAGGAAAAGTGTATTAAAAGGCAAGACGTTATGTATGGTTACAAAATATCCTCAAATATACTGGTCTTTATATGTGGAACAGGTGAGTCACATTTTTATGTGAATAAAAACTGGATTATTATAAATCTATCCAGATATCTAGCAAAAGTGGAAACAGTGTGAACTGTAACAGGCAGAGGCTTACTGTAACCTGAAAAGTAAAAAAAAATACAGTTAACATACCTTTAAAGCATGTGTCTTCTTGGCAGGTGTGTGAGAGTGTCTCACACTATGTGGTATGATAATGAGACACACGCATTTTTTTAGTTCAGAAAATGCTTCCAGTAAAAGGTATTGAGCAAATTTCCAGTTTTAGACTCTGTGATAAATGAAAACAGGATATAAGCTCACTCTTTTGTGATTCAAAATAAGTGATTTTGTTTTACAAACCACAAAAAAGGAAACCTAAAGAATTATTTAATTGCCTGGTTTCTGGTTTGTTTTACAGAATACTTTTAGCTTCAGTTCCAAAATTAGGAGAAAACAAATGTTTTTATGCTATGGTAATTTCCCTTAGATTAAAAGGCTTTCTCATGCTGACAGTTATGGCACAGAAAGTAGGAAAGGTAGATTTATTGGCATGCCTAACTCTGGTGAAGGTATATTGCAACAACAACAACAACAACAACAACGAAATCACTGGAAGAAAAACAAGATCAAGGTCCATTAAAAATTCACTACATAATAGCTGCAGTTAAAACTGTTAATGATTAGTTTAGCACATGGTAGCAATTAAAATGTTGGGTTTTATCATTTCAGAACAGCATCACAGTCATCTTTTTTCTCATGGTGATTATTATCTTTTCAGTGACACCATCATGAACCACTGAAATTATAGTGTTGGATTCCTCTACCCATGTCATATGTTATTCAGACCTGCTAACACAGCTGGTGGTTTGTGTACAATACAAATAGAAAACCATAAGCACAAATGCAAAAAAAAAACCAGTCGGCCCATTATTGCGCCATTTAATTGTATGGTACAAAATTGCAACACATTTCAGAATTTCACCACGCCATTTATTAAGGGATTTTAATTTACTTCTACAGAGTGGCTTTGTAATATCCATAATGTACTACAGTATATGTACCCCTTTCTTTTCTGTCCTTAGTCTATTTCCATTCAGTTCTCCAACATATTCCATGTGCCTGTTGAATGTAAAAGAGTGATTCTTTTAAAAGGGTCTAATTTTTAATTCCTCCTTTACCATTTTTAAAGTTCAATTGCCAAAACCAGTATAAATTGGGTATAAAATATACTAGAAATTGTATTATTTGGTTCCTGGCAGAAAATCAGGATACTTTTCTCATTCTTGGACCTGTCTGAAATCACCTGGCTGAAATGAAGAGGCGCAAAACATTATATTAAGCACAGAAATAATGAAGCAGCAGACTGCTTTTACTAAGGAGAGCATCAATCCTATAATTTGGATGTAGAACTTTGAAACTTTTTTTCAGAGGAATTAAAATAATTGTATGGCAGAGAGTACATTTCCAGTCAAATTGTTCAGAGAGGGATGCTACAGTCTTAGAAGACAACATTTCCACTTCTTAATTTCTAAACATGTCTTGAATGATTTTCAGGATGTGTTCGCTTTGTTAATGAAGAAATTAGCAAAATAAATACTAAAACTCAGTCCAGATTTTTATTACTATCACTTTTTACATAAATATATTTGGTATATTTTGAAGCAGACAAAATATAGCATTACTGATAGAGTGAGTTGATAACTTGATATTCACACGTGAAACTGATTGTCTTTAATTTTTACACTAAGAATCATACTTTCACTGAGGCATACTGTTTTGTCTCAATAACAATAAACATAAAACTCACAATACTGATTAGCTGTTCTTTATCCCTACTAAAGTCTTGACCATGTAAACAGCTGATCAATGTTATTGATTTAGGACGATCCAATTCAAAGTAGGCTAAATAGTCATTTTAACACATATCGTATCACAGTAATATAATGCAACTAAAAATAAAAAACAATATTTACATTTATGTTAATCAGTATTATTATTATTTCTGAGAGGGATAATTATCCAACATCTTTAAATTTAGCAAAGTGTCAGGCTTAATTTAAGAGTCAGCATTCTATTTCTAGACAATTTTAAAATTGCTTATTCTCTCAAGGTGTTCACTGAAGAGTCTTATAGTGACCCCACCCTATAGGTCAAACAATTCTTTTCTAAGAGTGCTCAACAATCATACAGAGTGAGATGTACACAGCAGCCAACAAACTCAGACTCAACCAAGAGAACTAAAAAATACAAGAGACCAGCTTTCATTTGAATCTAAGATTGCTGAAAACCATTTAGGTTTCAGCAGACTGCAAAAAAAAGTCATGAAAATAATGTAACTCTTCAAGGGTTGTTTGTAAAACAGAGAGTTGTCTTGAAGCTGTATAATGTTCTAGTAAAACACCACAATCAAGCTGCAAAGAGACAATGTGTTCTATGGAGGAGATGAGGAAAAAGACAGTTGGAGCTCAGATAGATGGTACCTGACTATCAATAATAGTTCAAAAGGAATTGGGCATTTATTGACTGGAAAGAATTTGACAATATTTTGTAATTATTTTATTTTGGCACAATAACCAAGCTCAATAATCTGAGCCTTGGCCAACCTTAATTTCTTTTGCCAAGTCAAGGTAAAAACTGTTAACAAGCTGTTACACATTTTCAAGTGTAGATTCGTAATTAAACACAAAACCTATCCTGTCAGAAGATGTTACATCATCCCAGAACATGACTCATGCTTTAACTATTCATATTTGTGTTTATCATAAACTTCCATAGCTTCTCTGGCAGGTGATCTGGCGCTGCATGGGCACCTGGATTAAAGGTCTTACTGTGAGAAGGATTTAAGACAGAGGTTGGCTTAGAACACAGCTAATGTTTTTAAAAGTAGGGTTCTCATCATCTCCTGATTTAGAAGTTAATCTGTTTGCAGATATCCAAGCATGATTATCTCACTGTCTGATTTAATTTCTTTAACCTAAGGTAAAAAAAAAAACAGTAATGAGCACTTTGATTCTCTAACACTTAACATGGAATGATGCTGTTGTGAAATAAACCAGATTAACTACTGTATTCTTTTTTTTAAATCTGGTTTTCCACCAAACATTTTAGACTCTTTGAAACAGAAACAGCTTTATTGCAATGTTAATCGTTAATAATGGAATAAGTCCTTCAACTGTATTCTAAAGGGAAGGCTAAAATACTGGTTTATGGCCTTATTTAAATTGTTGATAAATGTATTGAGAAAAGCCCCTAAGCGTAGGTATCTTTGATATTCTGATGGGCACTGCAAATATCAGTGCAATACAAGGACATGTAACTTGAAAAACGCCTTTAGTGACACTTTGAAATCTGTATTTTTTCAGAGTGAAATTAAAACAGAGATCATCACAAACGCATGTTGTAGGATTTGTTACATATATTAACATACACATACATGTATAAAAATGTTTTACTAAATTCCACAATTTCCTACAAAGCAAATAACTAAAATGCACTGGACTTTTTCATTCAAGAGCAAGTAGTCTCAATGAAAGCAATATGTTCCAGAAACAAGTATGTAAATGCTGCATGAACAAAATCAACTACTAGTAATACACACAGGCCACAGAAAAGAGTACAACAAAAGCAAATGTCACAGATACCAAGATGAACTAAAATAGACACAGGGGAAAGAAAAGAGAACACGCATGACATAGAAAATAATTAAGTAATGTTCAAGTGGCTGCTACCTTTCCTGAGTCTCCTACTTCATGACGAACCAAACTCAGACAAATAATAAGCAGCCTTCACTGTCCATGTTTGCCACTAAAGTACATTGCTGGAATTTGTTAATTATTGAAAGAATGCCTGAAGATGATTTTTTATTTAAAGTTTCTAATGGGGGCATTGAACACACTGTCTACCGCTACTAGATTAGCTTTATTACTTAATTTGAAAACTATTTAACGTTAATCATGTATCTGGGGCAAAAGCAAAAAAAAAACCCATCAAACATAACACACGTTGACATGAAAGTGGTTAAGATGTAAGACTTAATATTGTCCACTTCTTGTACGTTTATAATTTAAAAAAGACAAAATAGCAACACCAAATATATTCAGGATCACATGGTCAGTCTGAGTTATTTTGGACACTGGCACATTGTAAATCGTGTTGAATATGCCTTGTGTACCTCCAACTTCTATTTTTTCTGGCAACGATTACTTTAACACATCACTTTGACGGAAACAAAAACAGCTGGATGCATTCTGAAATTCTGCAGGATTTAACTGTGTGCACATGTAAGAAACCCAAACCATTTTAATTAAAAAAAAAACTGCAGTTGGGCTAGGATGCATTTTTGTTTAACAAAGAACATCCATATCTGAGTTTTGTTTCATAGCTTTTCACAGCAAAAAGAGAAAAATAAAATAGAATGTTACAGCTGCATGTGAGAATGCAAGTTTGATCGATATAAAATAATAGTTCTAATCACATATATTGATTCTGGTTTATTGGTTAAGTTTTTATTAGCCTTGAAAAAAAAAGAACACTGTATTTTTCGTTTCTTTTAAGACAAAATGATAAATCTCCGCTCCCCGCCCCTTCCATCGTTACGAAGGCGCGCAGATTTACATACCAAATGACATAATGGTAGGTCTTTTCCTTTTTTTCAAATTTAACCAAGGTTTACCCGATGATTTTTTTTCCTTGAGCCGCCGCCATGTTGGTATGAGGCAGGATGACAGCAGGACGGAGCAGAAGAGGGACACTGATCTGAATTATGAAATAAAAGATACGCAAATACTCTTTTTATAGGGGTATGGAAAAAGGGCTTGAGAACTATCGGTACATCCAACACATTCGAGTGTTTGCTTTCTTTTTGTAAAAACAACTTTAAGGATTTAAAAGGACTGTAATTTCCTGGATGTTCAGAAATTCGTTTTCCTATGGCGTAAGAATCCTGTTTTAAAATATATATATATATTTTGGGGGGTGGGTGGGGGGACCTGCCAGTAAATGTATAAGGATACAATTGTCCATTTTTGGTGGGATTTTAATTTAAAAAAGGAGAACAAATGTATTTTGCAAGGAAACCTTTCTAGCAGTCGTATACTGTACCTCTCTAGGTGCTGAAGAAGGAGTATCCACCAGAATTATCATTGGGATTTTCTCTTTTTTTTTTGTCCGGGATAAGTTATAACTCCGATTGTCAAGTAATTATACAACTGCACTGAAAAATAAAAAAGTGACATTTTCTCCTCGAAGGTCAACCACAAAAAGCATAAACAGTCCCAAGATGTCAAGCAATATTCCAACTGATATGGTGAGAAATTAGTCAGTTTGTTTTCATATATTTGCATGACTGTGCTATCTTCTTCGTCGTATATATATATATTAAATATGTACTGTATGTGTTGTATTGTACATTAGTTCATTTTCTGTGGTTTGTAATGAAATGAGATGTATACCAATATCTACTTCGTATCCATTATAAGAAAATATATCGCTTAATTTAAATTAATTGTAAAAAATGACTCTGGCTGTAGAAATGAAATTCTGAGTTTTAACAGTCGATCCAGGACATATCCTAAATATGAATGAACCTGGTTCGATTCAATTATTAATGTGAATTACTGTTTCGACTGTTTGACATTGCCTAATACAGCAACATAGCAGTCCGCTTCTCTGTTTGCTAAATATTTGTTTTCTGACAAGATGAACTCAAGCTAGGTGTGAAATTTATAATTATGGAGGAAATCATTATGGAACGTGTTCTGCATGTTGAGCGACTGTACAGTTCACGTTTGTTTCGAATGAATTGCACTTGTTTTGGTAAGATTGCGCTTGCTACAAAGTTAATCTGATAATTTTCCTTCATTTGCGATCAGATTTAGGCTAAATTGAAATAAAGGTTGTTGTTGACGCTATAGCTTCCAAATGTCATAGTGGACTTTTGATTTACATTTATAGTTATTCCTCCTGTTATGTAATTCGGAATCACGCCGCTGCTTTGCAGAAGACCTGTGTTCTAACCATTAAAACCATTCCAACTATAAAGAAACCGTATTTTCATTATTAAAGTTTATATAGTGAAGGTGAGGAATTAAAAGTTTCTATTCGGTCGTAAAAGTGACTTTTCGTTTCTGTATTTTTTCACAAATAACTGCAGTTTGATCAGCGCAAAAAAAACATTTTCAAATCGGGTCTTAGAGGCATGAGTATTGGGTTACATTGCTGATGTGCCTACCTGTATTTCACTAGTTGAGGTAATATAACTTAGAAAACATTAGTTGCTTTTAGATGATTAAAATTGATGGAAGGCTGTACACGAAGCGGCTGCTCATCTGTCTTGCGTAAATCCATGTGCCCCTTGCTAAGTACTGGAAAGCAGGGTGAATTGAAATTGACAAAACATTGTAAAGAATGGCAGACATTTTAAAAGTGCTGAAACTAATCCACCACAAAGACTGCAGTGTTGACTCAGGGGATGTTTAATGCTTACGCTTATACCCTATAGTTTAGTTTGGCTAAATTTGTGAGGTTGCTTTGCATGTAGTCGCTTCATCACGACCATGCAGCAGGATTCCCACAAGCAGTACCTACCCATGGTGTCTCGGGAACAGGAACAACAAGAGATACTGGCAGTGAAATGTTGTACCTTGTATGGCTTTTTCTAGAATGTAGAGTGAACACATAAATACTAGAAACATTTAGGTGCCTGGAGACTGAACTCACTGTTCTTACCAGTGCGCAATGAAACTTAAACCAAGACAATGCAGGAGGAAACTATAGTGAAGCATGTTTAAAACCTGGAAATAAGAGCCAGTTCTTTGCACAAAGGGTTGTAGGGGCATGGGACGAGCTCGCGCAGCCATGTTACTGAAGCTGATACTTTACTCTTTAAAAGAAGCAGCTGGTTGTGACTAACAGCTAAATGAGACAGATACATTGAAAGGCTGCTTTTCCCTTTTTTTTGAGATACGTGTGATGGATTGGCAAGTTTTCATTGCCTGTGTACCAGACTACAGGCTCCGCAACATTGTAAGGTTGTAGTGTTGTGTGTCTTCTGTTGTCGCTTGCTTATTTAAATCTGGACTTCTGTTATTTATAGACATTTTCTGGTAATTAACAAGAGCGAGATTTGTTGTTTTATACAAAAAAAGTATACAATAAGTATAAAGTAGCAATTGATGCAAAGAAAAATCTAAAAGATGCTTACTGCATTTTTGATCAATTAGGCCTTTTTAACAGTTTTAGATGGTTAAAAAATACTTATTGCACAGTGTCACCGAGTGACCAGCTGACAAGCTCTATCTGGTGGTTAATACTGTAAGTAATGTGCATTTGAAGAACAATATCCATTCTATTCTATGCTGAATTACTAGAGATAATTATTTGCGCTTTGCATTCAAACTACACAACTTAAGTGTCTTGCGTATTACAATAAAAGTAATTGTGGAATCTAGCTACAGGTCTGGCTTCAAATTGAAATCCTAAAGACAAGAAAAAAGACAAAGTTTCCTATTTTACGTTTCCCTGCCTTTCTGCCTCATTTCTCATGTGTTACTTGGCTCTTACGCAGTAATGTCTAATATGCCTCAAAAGAAAGCTGTACACCAGAAGCCTATATCACCCCTGTAAGTGCTCGACTCTATTAGGTTAATGTCCTACTCTATAGCTAATTAAAATATCACCACTGTCTTTAATAAGGTTTTAAAATATAACCTTTAAACCCAGTGACTACAGTGAGGTGAATGGACGAACTAGGTATTTGTGATTTTTGAACAGGGCAGCATGGTGGCACAGTGGTTATCATCGCTGCCTCCAGTTTCCTCCCACAGTGCAAAGACACATCGGTAGGTTAATAAGCTTCTGGAAAACTTGACCCTTGGGTCTGTGCGCCCTGTGATAGACTGGAGTCCCATCCAGGGTGTATCCTGCATTAAGCCTGTTGCCTGATGGGATAGACTCCAGCTCCCCCACAATCCTGTACTTGATAAAGCGGTTAGGAAATTGAAGGATGGAAGGAGGAACACTTTTGAAGTAGCCCTGGATTGTCCTTTGATTTTCAAGTTTCTAAAAACAACTAAAACGCTCTTAAAATAAATTGACCTTTATCCAAAAGTCTGCAGCACATTGCATAATTTCAGATTAAGTGTTACAATCAGCACATCTATTAAAGTAAGTCTTTTTTTCCAATTAAAGCTGCTTATTTAACTAGCAGTTAAGTCACTTGTTTAAGACTAGATTTCAAATGTCCTTAATTTGTGCTTTTGTGTCTTCCAGTCATTTGAGACAGCTGAAAAAGGCACTAAAGAGGTGGGAACCAGGAATGAGATAGTCAGCACGTCAGTGTGTGGTCCCTAACAGCTGTGAAGTCCTAGGCTGGGGGGAGGGCTTGTAGATTAGCCTGACAGAAATGCTGTGCAATGTGTGCGCAGGTTTTATAAATAGTATACGTCTTTTTTTTTTCCTTTGTGTTCTCATTTTCTTTTTATAATGCAAGCTGCAAAACGCAGGAAGGGCTATGTCAAGGGAAGTTGAACATGTATGATTTGTAAGTAAAAACTAATCCAGTCCCCTTACTTGTTATAAAGTGACCAGTCTTGAAGACGTAATCCACATTCTTATATCTAAGGTTGTGAATAAGACAATTATCTATTTGTTTGTTGTGTGTGCTCTTGTTTTATTAGCATTTGGGTTTTTGGCTGTGTGTAGGTGTACTTATAATATTACCATCAAATTGTCTAAATAAGAATATTGGGGAATTAGTATCTGCTCTGGGACTCAGGCAGGAGTTTTTATTATTATTTATTTTGCTGGGTGAGCTGTTCGTGCTTAATATTAGTATAATTTACCAAATTAAAGTTAGTTGAACACCAACAAACAAGACGCAATAATTTCAGTTGTATATACTGTATCAGTGCATGCTTATGACAAATCTGTGTTTGATTTACTTTTAGCTAGGCCAGAGTGTGCAAACCCAGTTTACTCCTTAATTCAGCTGCTGAGCTCTTACTTTTCCATCTGATCTGCTGTGGGACTGCTGACACATATTGACTACAGGATTCAGTGCAGTGGATGAAGAACCTAACTCCTATCCAAGTGGGAGAAGTGAGTCTCCCTCCTACAGTATTCACGAAATGTCAGAAGACGTGGCCCTCCTATTCTTCTGTTATTCATAACAATGCGTTACTTACGGGTAGTTCCCCTTTCTCTTCTTCACTGTGAAGATACCTTTCACATTCCAGCAGATTTTGTTTTAATTGAGGATTCGTTTTCATGTCTTCACTTGCTCCAGGACCTGGAATCTTAAAATGTTACCCGTCTCCTTTTTCGTGTTTTTACTAATGTGTCCATTGTACAGTGCATGCTGATCACAGCCCCTGGGGGACAAGAGCGTGTACACTTCCAATACGTAATTTAAGAGGCAGTTCAGAGGGATTGGTATCCTCCAGTTGTTCATACTTGGAAAATGGGTTGGAATGTCACGGATGAAAAATCAATTGGTAAATTAATTGATCAAATCTACCCATCCATCTTCTAACCACTTCACCCAGTTCACAGTCATTGAGGAGCTGGAGCCTATCTTGGCAAGCAAAAAGTACAAGACAGGATCACAGGTTAGAAACACAGACACCCCCTCACCCAAGGTTATTAATCTACCAGTATGTCTTGCATCTATGGGAGGAAACCAGCAGCAAAGGAAACCAGGCAAACACAGGGAGAACATACAAACTCCACACAGATAGCACCCCAGATCTGGAATTGAACACAGGGCACCTGTTCTGCAAGGCAGCAGTGATAACCACCATGCTACTGTGCTGATCTCGATATAAAATCAACTTTTAAAAATCCTAATCATACAATGATATACTTCAATTTTCTTGACAGAGTTTCCAAGTGTCCCTTGTGTACAGTATGTTCTGATTTGTGGGGTGCTGTAGCCACCTTCTTGCACGTTTTGGGAGTGCTCAGATGTGGTTAAGTTTTGGAAAATGCTTTTCTCCTCTTTCTCTACTATTCTAAACCGATACTCCTTGGCGTCCCCTAGTAACCCTGTTAAATGAAAACTGTGGTGTCAGATTCTCACAGCTCTAGAATTAGATACTGTATATGTGCCTAGTCTCAGTGTAGCTTAAAAAAGACACTGGTGCTGTGCTAGGAGCTTCTGTATTCCCTCTCCTGGTCCCAATCTCCATATAAATAAGGTCAAGACAGAAACTGTCCTGTCTTGACCTCATTAATATGGAGATCGGGTCTGTGGTGCCAGTGGATCCATGTAGTAGTATTGTGGATGAGGTCAGATTTTCATTGCACTGT